TGCTCTCCAACTTCGTCACCTTTCTTCGGTAAATGCTAGTTTCCATATCTCAAACCGCCCTTGGATACCTTGTGATGCCTACACAAAGTAATTGCATATATGTATACATATATGAGTGAGCCCTGACTATAGTGATTAGGGTTAAGCACTAACAATACTGATTAGGGTTAAGCACTGAAAATACTGATTAGGGTTAAGCACTTAGAATTGTGATTAGGGTTAACGATTAGCTTCTTTTTAGGGTTAGGGTTTTCGCTACAGCGAATCCTCGGTGGTGTAGTGGTTAGGGCTGGGGACTTCTGATTTAGTACTTCGGGATCGATTCCTACTCGTATTACGGAAAATTTTTTTTCCTTTAAAATTGAAGAGACTTGCACTTTGACGACATTTGTTGAGCAGAAACTAAGTCTCTGGGTCAAGAAACTTAGAAATTTCATGTAAGTGTAAGTGAAAAGGGAGAGGGCGGTTTGAGATATGGAAACGAGTGCTTACCCCTTTCTTCAGGTCCGCTGACCCCTACACGCGCTGACCCGTAACGTCCGTTGGAATGTATGTAACGAAATACAAGCAGCCCACCTTCAAAGTACTTGGAGACTAGCTGAGGCTGAATTCACCATCATTAATCGGAAAAACATAAAACTGTTTCACTTCACGATTTCTGGTGATAGAAAGACTGTTTTTTTTTTTTTTACACTTATATTTCACGTATTTGTTTGGATCCCGCTGCAGTTCGGACAAATGAACGCTGTCACGCGACAACATTTCCAAGATTCAACTCTCCTTAGCAGATGGTAATTTCGAGTTATTCTCTTTTTCTGCGAATCTTTCATTTTCCTTTCTCTTTTAATTCTATATAATTCTATTTAGGATGGTTTTGAGCGCCTAGCAAGGCTTAAAGTGGCGTTTACCACGCTATCCTTGGCCATATTGGCAACAGAGAAGTGTTTCGCCGAAGTGGCAACTTAACGGTAAATACGGTAACTTTGAACGGTTTTTACAACGTCAGTATACTTTGGCCGGAAAATGTTTTTAAGAAAACGTGATGTATATCCCTCCAATGTCTGATTCATCACTGTGATTGCTTTCAGCTGCGTTGGACTTTTGAGAAATTATTGTTTTAAAATCAACTCCAACGCTCCATCTAATTTAATATGCAATATTTGAAAATCTATTTTTTATTCCCTTCGGCAATTTTTCGATGTTTATCGAACGATATTGCATTAAAAGGCCTTTTTCTTCATCACTGTGTGGTTTTCTCGCTATTTTGCGTTGCGATAGTGATTTCTGAACCGTTTTTTGCGAGGGCTTATTTTAGGCCTGATTTTGCTGCTATCAGACGGAAAAAGTTTGCGGCTCGATATTTTTGGTTTAAAGCGAAACTGAAACAAAAGAAATTCATTTTTGAATAGTATTCGGTAACCTCTACTTGGGAGACAAAAATCGGCCGATTTTATTTTTTAGCCGGAAATCATCGGTCGTTTCTTAGGCGCAGGGCCTCTTAAGCAAGCAAGGCTGGGGGAATTCGTCAAAGAATTGTTTTTTGATGTATCCGGGGAAAATGAAATTGAAATAATGAATAAATTGTTCATTTCGCTACCCTGTTTAAGAGTAAGGGATATTATTTTTAGACTACGAGTAGTCCCCCATTTTTCCTCAGGGATAGCGAAAACGCGAAAAATGGGGGACTACTCGTAGTCTATTTCGTTTTGGCGTTTTCAACTAAAGTCATAGATCAGATTTTTTTTGGACAAGAAGATGGTCGTGTCCACAAATGTTGACCTCTCATCGCCAACGTTCGCACTCCCTTCAAAAGGCCTCCGGTCTAAAAAAGACGTCCTGTTCGCAAGAGGCTTAATTGTAAATACTCTTGTAGTTTTAAAAGGAATAACACACAAACTGCCGTTACAAACATCAGAAATAACTAACGTATTGAGACCCTGAAAACCTGTACCCTGTTCAGCGGCATAACCCGTTGAGGCGAAATAACAAAGCGCCTCTCCCCTCCCCCGGTCTTTCCTTGAGACTGTAACATTTCAACGAAACCGTGAAAGCCAGAGCTTAAATCAGGCTTTTAGTGAAGCTAGAACCTTCCAAGAATAGAGAAGTCTAAACGAACAGTACTTATTCAAGTTGAGAAACGAACTTATAGTGTCGTACCCAAGTTTTCCTCCGCCCGGCCTGCGTTTGAGTTCTTTTCGGCGTGGACAGTTTCGAAGCATTTATTGGTTTCCGAGGGGTCCGTTGGTCAAGAAAACAATTTCTGAACGTTTAATTTGGTCCAGACCCTTAGATAACAGGCGGAGGTGGGGGGGGGGGGCGATTTCCAAAAAGAATTTTTCCGCCCTTCGGGTCTCAGTTGGTCTAAAAATAAGCGGGAGGAGGGGCGGGCCCCCGGGCCGCTCCCCTGGATCCGCCGCTGGTTGTGAAATGTAGGCTGTTTTCTTAGGCTGATTCGGGTAAAACGTCTCTTATCCAAGAAACCGCCAGGGCGGTTGCAGCAAACGGGGCTCGGAGCAATTCGGCCCTGATCCATGGGGTCGGGATCATTTCGGGGGCTGTACAGAACCCTTAGCCTATAACAGCGCTCGTTCAATTGAATTTTTGCTACCCTAATACGAGACTAAACTCTCAAAATCCCCCTCTATCCCAGAGTAGCTGTTTTCCAGAAACTACTGAGGTCACAAACACAGTCCAGCCAAAACAAAACAGATTTGATTTTTCATATTTTTTGAGTAATCTACTGATCGCCCCTGGTAAGGAAATCCAAGACAGTCTTGGATTCTGGATTCCACGCCGTGTCTCGGGATTCCAGGCACTGGATTCCGTATTCTTTGTCAGTAGAATCTAGAATGCAGATTCCAGGTACTGGATTCCAGATTTCTTGAGCTGTATTCCGGGTTTCAGAGCCCACGAATCTGGACGTTTTCCTGATTCCGGATTCAACGAGCAAAAATTTGCCGGATTCCGATGTCTGGATTCCCTTATATGGGGCGATACGGCTTAGAAATGCTGTCATCAACCACTATACAGAAAGTACATGTATTGTTGATTAGCTACTGTTTTGTGGTGTGCTGCTAAATTAATGAGCATTTTAAAATTCTTAATTCTGTCTTCGTTCGGAAATTAGACGTTGCCCTGTAAAAAGGTGTACGTATTTTGTTTTGGAGAATTTAACTAATGTCCACCATTGCTGTCGGACGTTTTCACATCACTCTGGCGGCCATACTGGAGTACCGAAACCTTGAAATGGCGACCCTGTTGGCGAACCGAGCTGATCCTCGCTTCTCATGTAAACACCCCCACTTATTTAAAGAAAATTTGGATAACTTCTGGCCCACATAAGTGATAACGCTCTATCCGTTGCCATGGTGACAATTAAACTTTACTTCCTACCAATGCTAATTTCTTTGGTGGAAAAGAAATAAAAGGCTGCAGGATTAGTTTTGCTAGAAAAATACGACATATCCCCAGTGACGGTGAGGTAACACGGGAGATTATTTCAAAAGGGGCATATTCCAGGAATACGAGAGACATGTGAGATTATTCTCAAAGATTAGTATAGGTAATAGCATGATTAGTAGTGATATTTGGCATAAATTCCACGAGTGATGTTTCAAAATTGTTATACGTAATTTCACGAGCCATTAAGCGAGCGAAATTTGAGACAATTTTGAAATATCACGAGTGGTATTTATGCCAAATATCACGTACAAATCATGCTATTAATTGTTTATACTACTACCCGCAAAAGGTTGTAATTTTCACATGCAGGTATTTCAAATTAAGCTGAAATACCACTGCTCTAAGCCAATCAAATTGCAGAAATTTCTCATGTAGCAGTATAAGTGTTTTAAAAGGTTAAGCCAATCGTGGAACTTGCATTTTCCCATGTTTTTTCTTGGGCTGTTCGAAAAACTGTACTTGATGTTTAGTTTAGTTTAGTTTCACTTTAAGAAATAATTCCTATTACCATGACTAGACCAAATTCGTTTAAAGATATGTAAGCCCGTTTCAATCTTTTAGAGCAGTAAGCGAAACAAACAAACAAGCAAATAAACAAACCAACCAAAAAACAAATCTCTAAACGCCTGGAACTGCAATTTGTAGGCCAGATTCTTATACGTCTACAGCTACACTGGCTTGGAAGACATGAGACGGTGGCGTAACTTGCACGGGTGACTTATATCTAGTACATCCTAGTAGGAATCTTTGATTAAAACAGTAGCACGCGGAAAAATGGAACGTCGTCAGGTTTAAAATATAAGGTGGGAACGCTGCGTCAGTTTTTAAGTGTGTACGAAGACTTAGTTTCGAAATTTTAACGATTAAATAAGTGCTGTTTAAAATTTGGGCTTTAAAGCGATATTGTATACTGTGTGTAAAATAAATATTTTTCTGGTACTTCTGAACGTACTACTACTACCTTGTAATACTACTAATATTTCATATTTTTATGATTATTATCCGCAAAACGGCGAGAGAGAGACACGTATGGATACGAGGCAGTGGCAATTATATTTTTTGTGGAGTGTTGTGGAAACGCCATGATATTGATCTTCCCCTTTACTTGGGGTGGGTGGCTGGATATGGGGGGCGGGGGAGATTTGGGGGTAGAGGCCCCCAGACCTCCGAAAACAGCACCCCTGATTACTGCAACCATTTTGGGAAAATACGAATATTCCGATGACAATTCTATGACTGAAGAATTGTTAAAATCCACAGAGTAGCCAAATGCCTGAAAAACTCATGGCAGCGACCTTGACCGGAACCATTGAAGCTCGACCGTACCTTGACTTTGCCTTTAAATCCTTGGGAACTGTCCACTACCCACGTAAACGTAGAAACCCACGCTGTCGCGCTCCGACACAATTTCTTCGCGTAATGACGTATTCAGTATGGCTCGATCCTGGGGGAGGGTACTGCCATATATGGACTATATGGGTATGTGCCGCTGTGAGTGGTATGGTTTTCAAGCTGTTTACTCTTTGATAGGGTTTATAAATCACAGAGTTTAGGTCTAGAATAGGGTGTCATTTTCCAGGAAACTGATCAATTGGTTGAAGATTTTAGTCTAGAATAGGGAAACCGGGAATTGCCATTCAAAAATATGAAAAATCAAATCTGTTTTGTTTTGGCTGGACTGTGTTTGTGACCTCAGTAGTTTCTGGAAAACAGCTACACTGGGATAGATGGGGATTTTGAGAGTTTAGTCTCCTATTAGGGTAGCAAAATTCAATTGAACGAGCGCTGTTATAGGCTAAGGGTTCTGAACAGCCCCCAAAATGATCCCGACCCCGAAATGATCCCCAACCCTGAAATGATCCCCAAATCGACCCCGAAATGATCCCCATTCCTCTTCACGTCGACCCCGAAATGATCCCCAATTAATTCTTGGAATGGAACTTGTATTCCGTCACGGAGTTATTACAAAGAGTTGCAGCGTTTACGTTCTTAAATCGCGTTTAACATTTCGCTACAAATTGAAAACGTTACAGTCAAGAACAGTATTTTTCCTCCTTCCCTTCCCATGAGACCCCGCGCGCTCCTCAACCTAATCCCCAATCGTCTCTCATCCCAAAAAACACTTAAATAGCGACTGGGTACGAGTCTGAGTCAAGAAGACTTTAGCAGCGACTGATCAAACAAAGTGAAATAGAGTTTACTTGCGATATTTCGACTGGCCAATACCAGTCTTCATCAGGTTCATTGAGATATCACGAATTCACAGAAATACATATGAGGAAAAATTATGACCGGAAATTACATAATATGACATGGAATTGTGGCTACTTTAAAAGATAAGATAACAAAAAAATAAAAGATATACTATATATAGTTACAGTTCATCACGTTTATTGATGCCCCGAGGCTCAATTGTCTTAGCTTTATGGATAAGGTGGGCTTCACGTGCTTTCCTGAAAGAATCACGCCCATTTTTAAGTTTTTCAATAGGAATCAAAAGCATATGATTGTCGGGATGATTACTGGTTAGAAAGTGTTCTGAAACTGCAGTATGGATGTAATTACCAGTAGGGTTGAGTATAGGTCGTCTGTGTTCATTAAAACGGTCTTTGAGGCGACGTTTAGTTTCTCCAACATATTGTAGATTAAACAGGCGACATTGAATCAAATAGATAACATTAAAAGTTTCACAAGCGATATGAGATTTGATGTGGTGGGTGTCACCTGTAGAATGAAAAGTGTAATCGCGGCTGCGACAAAACCTTTCTTAAGATCCAAATACAACGAGCTTCCAACATTCTTCGCACTGACGCACTTACAAACAAACCCAAGACTCAGACTGAAACCTGCTAAAGGCTTCTTGACTGTAACGTTTTCAATTTGATCTATTTTGACTGATCACGATCTTTTTGGAACCGACGTTGAGCAAGATTGATCGTACACGGTATTTGCAGTTTTTTTTATTCTTTTTTACCTTAATTAAAGATTTGGCCACAGTTTATGTGATTTTTTAGCGCTTTTGTCATCTAATCGCCTTTACGTATACTTTTGCATCTTTTAGAAAGTGTTAAAACACCATCTTTAAATAACAATTATTCACCGAAGTGGAGGTGGCTAGTATTGGATATTTACCGAGGCCGCGAAGCGGCAAGGTAAATATCCAAGTATATACTAGTAGTATATACTAAAACAGTGAGATAATTGAGCACAAAATGATGATTTTTAACTCATTTACTGTTGCCAACCATTACAATTTTGGCGCGCGATGACCGAACGGCCGCGGTCGTCGCTTTTTCTTAGCGACAAATAAAACTTTTGAAGGCGTTTGTTTAGCTCTTGCGGGGAAGTTTCTTCAATTCTGTTTGTATTTAAAATAATTCTGTAAAAAAGATTATTACATTGCAAGACTTAAGCTTAATTTGCATTTGTAAACAAAAAACTTTTTCACCGGTTTTATCGATAACTAATCAAGTCAAAAAGACAAAGCTTTACCTGTTAAAACTTCCAAACCGACCTTCGTCACCCTCTTCATGTATTTCGGAAATAGCTTGCTTGATTAGTTGTGAAATTTCTTAGTTTGTTACGGCAGCAACCGGGAAAGCATTTTGCTCGCAACCTACGCGAGTTTGGCGTCGCTCGCTCGGAGGAACTGGAGGTAAATCAGTGAATAGTGCAGGATATTCACTGATTGAGTAGCCAATCAGAGCGCACGAAAAACACTATCCACTGTTTTAGTGTATACTAAAATTCAATATCCAAGGCATGAAGTTTTAACATCATTTTCAGAATTTAACATCTATGCAGTTTTCTCTATAACCCGGGCTATAATCACCTACCTAATAATTTAAAAAAATGTCATGTTTCTTGATATTATCAGTTGCAGTTCATGGTGTTCCTAAAAATATACCAGACCTTGTGTATTTTTTTGATAATAATATTTCCCGGCGTTTAATCCAGTTCAAAGTGTAATCCCAGATTAATGTCATGTGAGCAAGTGAAGATTATTAGTGAAGTTGTGCATTTTGTACGATCCATAGTTCTAGGATATCATTCCATTCCTTAAATTAAATGGGGATCATTTCGGGGTCGATTTGGGGATCATTTCAGGGTTGGGGATCATTTCGGGGTCGGGATCATTTCCGGGGCTGTACAGTTCCAGGGGACCCAGCGACACATTCCCCCCCCCAAAAAAATTCCTTAAGTATCCCCCCACCCCCGCTCCCGGGCTCGATCTTGGCTATTTGTATCGTTTCGTCCGCCCTCAGCAGAGTTCGATGCAGTCAATGTAGTGTGAAGTTCTTCTGTTTGACTGTAAATTTGACTGTAAATTCGTTCAATGATCGTTTAAGTTACAATGATAACTCTCAAGTCCATTGGAATTGCAATACTACTGTTGGGCCTCGCTCAAGATTTCTTGTCTGTTCCGGTGTTTGTTAGAGGAGAAGATCAAACGCCTGATAGAACTTCTCGTGATCGACGAACCATTTGCCTCTATCTCTGTAGTTCTAAGAAAAATGAGCCCTTCAGAAAGGTACGATTCAGCATTCATCATTTAGATTGGAAAGCTATTTTTTGGTCTACTTATTCTGTTATTGCGCATCATAATTACTTCACCTTAAAGGCCATTGTATCCGCTTCTTCGATGTGTTTGGTAGAAAGTGGGATGAAATTGCAGCTTTTAGTTGTGTGATCGTGAAAAATTCGAAAACTTATACTCTCTTAACTCTACCATGGCTCAATGTCAACAAGTGCGTGCGGTTTCTCCTTCCCTTTGTCGAGCTTACTTTGACTCAGAATCACACCGAAACCATGCTGCCCCTAGGAATCTAGAGGGATAACCTGGATAACTTTAAAATCTTTCCTTTACACATGATTGTTTCCTATGAGTGATATTCATTTAGGCAAGCGTAAAAATTGTTGTGGTTCGAGCTAGGATCATAATGAAACCGACACTCAATTGTAAGAATACGTAGTAGATTGAATCGGTATCCGGTTATTCAATTTTTAAAATCTCTCGTCTAGATATTTTATTCTATTTTAAGCTACGGAAAGTAAAGAATCACAGACAACTCGCCGAGACCAAGTTACATTAAAATGTAATCGTCGAACGGACATCATCGCTTAAACGAACGAGTTTACTCGTCGAAAGAACACGCGAATTAGTAATTTGATATTTGACGAAAAAGAAGTCACGCTATTTGCAATGCACACACACTGACACAGTGTCAAGCTTTTGCGGTTAATATTCGTTCATATACGTGGACTGAGACTGTCGTGAAGGCTTTAAAGTTATTAATAATTTACATATAACGATATAAAACAATTTCTTATAATTGTTTTGTTCTATTCCTTAGACGGAATGGAATCAAATGTACTGAATTGAGAACTAGTTCCTGTCTCTACCAGCTGTCTCGCATCTTGTCAATTTCACGGCCGTTTCTGATTTATTTCCTTTCAATAGTTGTTTTAAACACAAAGGGTTTTATCAGTAAAGTAGTATCTAATTATAAACCTGCTGGCAACATGGGAATGCAAATTTATATACTGCGTGATGTTTTTGTCTAGCGAGTAGGTAAAATGAATTACAGGTACGGCCTCCCAATTGCATTTTCCCCGAATGCAGCCGGCTCTCTATTACAAGTGTTAAGCTTTTTTCAAGCTGGAGAAATATTAACTTCCATCTGGATAGACATCAAACATTCCACCCTGTTTTTTCCGGCAACGCCAATGAAAACATCTTAAATTTACAGCTCGAGTGGCTTAATTTTCTGAGAAAAGGAAAAAGTCAATTTGGCCCTTGGCGAATGCTGTGGAGTAAATGATTGATCACTTGTTTTTTCGGCAGGTGGTTAACTTCTGTATGGATCTTTAGGTTTGTAAGTGTTGCTTAACAAGGCATGAAGAAGTTTTGAAAACTTTAAGACTTGATTACAGTTGAAATATACATACATGGATTATCAAAATTATCATGGATTTATCAAAATATAGGCTTTTTACTGAGTTACAAATATTTCTTACTATATTAATACTCGCTTACAAGTAACGATTAAAACTGATGAAGAACAGAAAAGAATTACAAAAAAATACATCAACAAAATGCTGGTGAATACGTAATTGTGCATTGAAAGGATAATGTATAATTTATTCAAGTATTTTTAAAATTTCACCATTCATAAGTTTGTTACCTAGTAGCGTGTTTTGGAAAGGGCGTTCAACAACGTTCACATCGCTGAAACAGACCCAAAGCTCTTGCTTAAGTAACTATATACATATATGTGTGTCCGGTCCTGATAAACTAAGGTGTATAAACTTCTGTCTGTGTTTATAACCTCTGTCCACTCGAGTACGGTCTAGTAAACAGGGTCCAAAAAAGTGCTTCACGGATGAAATAAGGTTTTGTGCAGAGAGTGGTAAACTCATATTGACCATTTCTACTACTTTGCAGTGTTGGCTTTCTGCAAACTTGTTCAAATTTCTACCTGCCTGACACTAAAATTTCGACTTCCTGTGTTCTAGATTATGACTTCCTACAAACACATTTGGACTAGCTTAACTAGCTAGCAGTCACTCTTCTGTAAAAAAAAAAAAAACCTGATTGTTTAATATTTTCAACGGCTTTTGTTTGTTTGTATATTTGTTTTATCACTTCTCAATTCATCGTTATCACCTGAGATTTTTAAAGAGGGTAAGAGTGAGAAGGAAACCGCCGCGCGTAGAGATATTATGTACGAACCCTTTACAGAAATTCGTTAAGTGCTGACTGTATTATACGATTATGAAAAGCCTAGTAAACATATTAACCTGTATTGAAACACCGTGCATGAAAAAAATCGATGGGCAGAGCTATTGTGGCGTACGAAAGAACAACGCCAGGAGCTTATGAAGTTAGAGGCTTCTGACAACGTTAATAACAAGGCAAGAATTTGAATTAATAGGATGCCCGAAGGCTTTAAGCGCAAAGTCCAGTTTATTTTGGTCGTTCAGAAGATTTCTATTAATGTGTACGTGAAGGAAGTCCAAATTGTGACGTCAAAGACGACTAAAATTAATATGCAGCTAGGGCCCAGTTTTTCAACGGCCGATTATCACCAGCCCAGGGTTAAAATTTGAATCCGAGTTTCTTTTTTTCTTGTTCAAACGCATTTTCTCGCATAACTTTTTCAATTTTTGGTAGAGCAATTTTCAATTTACTTTTTGAGCTCTGATATATGAACTTCAAATTTTGCGCTAGCCCTGGGTTATCTTAACCCATCTTAGAACAACCCGGCCCAGAAGGGTGCAGTTCAAGGGCATTTTTCAGATCGTGTGTTCCCGGGCCCACGGTGGGCCATTTATCATCAAAGGTGTGCCCAGGGTGGGAAATTTGTCATCGAAGAATTTAATATATTCTACCACAGTTCAAAAAACAACAACAAAACAAGAATAGGTTATAACATGATAGGTCTTATAGGTTGTTGGACTACCAGTTTAAGGGGCTATGGAGCGAGGAAGATCCGAAACGGCGGAACAACTTTTCGTTGGTTGATGCAGAAGTGCGGTTCGTATGGTTACCAAGTAGATAGGGAATTAAGAATGACGGGCGACAATAACAAAAATGTAATTCGGGCCCTTCTGCTCCCTTTACTGGCATCAGTAACTCCCTTCAGCAGAATTATGACAATTATCAGCTCGTGGTAACGCAAAACGAAATAGTCAGCCTTTATTGCCTTGATTACCCACTAAACGACCCGCCGTCATTTTTGTCTAGAGCTAGGATCTTCCTAGCGAAAGCAGTTTACATGGTGCTAGGATTTTCCTACCTCTCAGCTAAGATCCCAGCGCTAGTATAGGGACAGGTGCAACCCTTTGCATGTAAACTGATTACAGAAAACATATGGCGCTAGAATGATCCACCTTCTAGGATCTTCCTCCCTCCATGTAAACAGCTTCTAAATTGTTTCTTCTCTTATTATTACTTCAGGGAACTTCATTTGATCGGTGTTTCAGAGAATGCTCCCTCAAGAAAAGAAAAGGTAAAGTTTAAACACAAACGGCCCAATTAATTTTAATTATTTCCGACTAAACAGAATTTTCCTTTTTCTAGATTCAGGTGAAAGTTTATCTTCTGTTGAAATAAAGGAGGATTTGAACTTTCCAATGACAAGATCACGACGGGACACCAAACATTCGCTGCCAGGTAGGAAAACGGTCGTGCTTCATCAAAAGTTGAGTATTGAATGAAGACAGTTATAAATATTTCAATGCGGATCTCTTCCGTAAGACGTCCTAGGTTGTATTGTGTAATTACTTGGGATTCCTGCGGAACTCTCAAGTCGGAAATTGCGATATTAGAGACCTTTAAGAAACTACGACGGTGACGACAAGGAAAACGTCAAGAAAGCAATAGGTTTAATGAGAAAAACAACAACTCAGCACGTGCATCACACTTTTTTGTACATTTCTTTGCCATCCCTGCACGTGACCAAATTTTAAGCTTACTTGAGAACGCGAGCGGCAAGGCAATAAATTCTACCTGATCTCTGTCTGAATTCGGGCGCAGTCCCCTCTCTTTAGCTCCAACCAAAATTCCCTTCTTTTAAGTAACAGGGCGAATTGTGATAATCGCGAAAAAGTTGAAAAGGATGTGAAGTCTATTTTTCAGCGACGTTTCGCCGTTGTTGGATCGTAGAGTTTCTATTGCAGAATGCCGCTGCGTTTGGTACGATGTTTATGCTCACATATCTTCGCGAAACCGAATTAGGAGAAACCTTTTTGATCAGCTCATAGCAAAGCCCACGAGTAAACTACGACAGCGGCTTGTGCAAAAAGACAACAACAGCAACAACAGCAAAAACAAAACGTTGATGGCGCATATACTTACGTCTGTAATTCGAAATTGCCCATTTCTATGACGTCACTTTTTTCGTACAAAAAAATAAACTTATTATAGTTAATTACAAGAATTTGTTTTCTCAACACAGGTTGCCCAAAAATTGATACTAAGCATGAAGGTCTTGGATACATCGTGGAAAAGGACAAGATAAGTGTGGATTTTAAGAAAATGAAACCGAACCTTACTGTTGAGTGGGAACCGGAACGTAGAAGTAAGTGAGATAGGTGGCTACACTGTGAAAGTAAACTATAGCTTCCGGGGGGGGGTTACTCCCTAATATGGGCTATATAGGTGTGTGCGGCCCCAAAGGGTAGGGTTTTTCAGCCGTTTTGGTCATAAATTGGGTATCGATTTTGGCTATTTTGCCGCCTTTTTGGTCATAAATAGGGTAACGATTTTTGCACTGTAGTCTTGAATGCACCTTTTTAGAAGAAGCTACTTCCTTATCGTGTCCCCCTAACCTAATAAAAGCAGATAAACATTGCCTTTAACATCGGTCTGAACTAGGGAAATGATTATAAGGCAGGTCTGAAACAGGGTATTGATTTAAGGGTCAGGTCATAAATAGGGTATCAAATTTTTGGTTAGGTCATAAATAGGGTAGGGAAAATCGCAGATTTTGGTCATAAATAGGGTAAGGGTTTTGGGAAGCGGGCCGCACACCCCTACCCAATTTTTCTGCGAGTACCCTCCCCCCCGGGCTATAGCTTCCCTTCACACGGTCATTCAAGAGATTTTTTCTTTCGTAGTCTGTGGGTTTTTGATGCTTTTTCAAGAGAGTAAAACGAGACAAAGAAATGAAAGTTTCAGTTTTGCTTAGTGCTTCCAAAACAGCTGCTTCTAATTACAGAATGCACACACGTAACGCATGAGAGTATCGAACTATGACTTTACAATGACTGTCACAAAATCAACCCAAGCTGTCCCTTTGGGAATTTCTGTTTTACGTCATCTCAACCATTTCGTACTTGCTGGCGTTCAGCAGTTTTTAGGGCTAAAACGTCATCATCACCTAACGATTCCTCGCGTCCCCCTGTTTACGCAAATCGTGATTTTTTTCTGGTGTACTAACTGCATACTGTAACTTTAAGTACTTTCCTATATATATGTTATAGGTCAAATTTGATTTCAGGTTGCAATTTTTTAATGTGGGTTGATTCTGAATTCCCCTTGTCTTCTAGGGCTAGGAGACAAAGGAAATTCAGATCCCTCTAGGTTTAATCAAAATTAACGTGAAAACTAATTTGACCTGTAACATATACGCGCGAGCTACTAGGATGCCTCCTCCGGATTTTGCCCTGTGGGCAAAAACCCTGCGAGGACAATTATGTGGCGGCTCTTTCAGATGGTTACAACTGGACTTCCTATGGTTTGCTTTATCATGGCTTAAAAGTGGATCAGCTTGCCTGCATAATAGTAGCAAAAGTAAGTATCTATACTAAATTACTCCTCCTTAAACTCGGAACGGCGAGAAGCCATTTGACATCGTCTGTACCTGTTTTTCCGTCTCCTTTGGTCATTATTGAAAAATTGTACAATACTTCCAACTTAATCATTTTCCGACTCAAAGTTGTTTAGGTGGGGCAGATGTGCGAAACTTGGGGTATAGTACTTCCCATTTGCATGGGACAACCGGAAATTCCGGTTGGAAAATCAAATGGATCGCCCCCTTCCGTTTGAGAAGCTTCAGAAAACGTGGACTTTGACCTGAGGCGATGCCATTTTTCTTCTCTCAGAGTCTATTCTGCTTATCTGTTCTCCCACCACGTCAAATTTCAGTTTTATCAGCAGTGACAGATCCAGGGGAGGGGCCCGGGGGTCGGCCCCCCCTCCCCCCTTATTCTTAGACCAAACGGAGGCCCGAATTAGTTTTTACACAAAAGACTTCCACTCGGGTGATTAGTGTAAATGCTAAGCACCAAGCTTGGTTTCCATGAATTCTTACTAGGGCGCTATATAACTGGACAGTAATTTTATATTTAACATTTACATTGTTACCGGCTTAACTTTCGCGCTACAAAGTTACATTTCCTGTCAAGGTCTGCGCATATCCTTGCATTACTCTACCGAGTAAAGTAAAAATAAATTGTGTTGGTCACGATAAAAAAAAAAAATTGACTTCAGTTCTTGCCCTTTGTCAGACAGCCCCCTACGCTGAGGTTTGCTGCCAATAACTGTTTTGATACTGACGTAAGGTACATATATGGGAACAAACCTAACCTTAAGCACGTGGAAGCACTAGGGTAATCACTATGGTCGGTTGTGCGTTAACGTGGTAATCACTATTGTCAGTGTTTGACCATAATCAGTGTTTTCAGTGCTTAGCCTAATCACTATTTAAGGGCGTAACCATAACGTGACACATAACTTGATTCATGACTCCTTAACTCATTTGACTCATAAAACAAACTTTCTCGGGACGCACATAATATAGCAATTATCTTGTTTTGTTCAAGGATCACTACAAGGATCCGTACCGCAGGGATAAGCTTCAATGGATTATTGCAGATGGAGAAGGTGCTTGGAAGTATCCTGACCCCATCGTCCTTGTGGTAAGGAGCTAGCGCTATGCTGTATATTTTTGCGTGGATCTGGCTACGTTAATTTATAGCCCTTAACTTGCTAGTAAAAAGATAATTTATTTGCTATTAATACTAATTTGAACTTTGCAGTCGGTGTGAGACCTTAATTTCACTTTCGTAAATGGTTGTCGTGATTTTTGAGAGTTCATTCGCCCAATGCAATGGAATCCAAGACAGTCTTGGATTCTGGATTTCTCGCCGTGGATTCCGGATTCTAAGTACTGGATTCCAGCCTTTGTCGATCAGTGGAACTTCGATTCTGGATTCCAATCGTTAGTGGGATTCCGGATTCCTTAAGCTTTTTTTCCGGATTCCAAAGCCCAGATTCCAGATTCCACGAGCCAAATTTTCCCGGATTCCGTAATCGCGATTCCCTTACATGGAGCGGGTTGATGCCATCATTGGTGATGGGTGATCCTAGGATAGATTCCTTAAATTAAGTCACAATATCTAGAGCAAAAGGCTACGTCTTCACGCCCAAGTTGAATTTCGGTTATTTTGATTACGTTCAGGAGAGGCCTAGGCTCACCTCTCAGAGATGTATCAGTGACATTAAGACAAATCTAAATGAAGATATGATCATCGCAGTTGCAATCACAATTTAATTAAATTGCAAATTAATTATAAGCTCGAACAATAATAATAATGATAAAATGGGGCTTCAACGGCATCGAAACCCATGGCCTCAGCTGTGTCGGCAATGCATTGCTGTACCAACTGAGCTATAAAGTCCCATACTTTGGGAGAGGGCCAGTTTTTTTGAGTTTATCTTTAACACATGAAAGCCTGAAACGTTCTTCATTCTAAGTTATACTTCTACTTTTTTCGGAATTTTGGCGTTGGCAATGGTGAGGGATAGTGGCTAGTGTACCAAAGGCCCGGGTCTGATTCTTCTGATCAGGGACAGATTTTAAAAAACCCGCAACCAAGTTATATAGGTATTGTTTCGTTATTAACATGCTGCTTTGATTAATTACAAATGTTTTGTATACTCTATTAAAGAGTCGATTGAAAACGCTTCTGTTTTTTATATCTAATGAATTAAGTATGTATCAGACCGAAATGATTATAGGTGAATGTAATACATATGTATTATCATAAGTTATTGTTTATCGCTTTTTTCATTATAGATCTTTACATATCCTGGCTTTTATCCAAGGTTGCGTTTAGAAAAATATGGTACGGTTTATTTTTATCAGTTGTGGAGAATAACTCCATGTGAATTACACAGTAGCCTGTAAGAGTAGCTATTTTTAAGCCTAGGCCAAACGTCAAACTTTTCATGAGACGAACCAAACTTAATTTGGGTCGACCTAAATTAAGTTAAGATCGTCTGTTGGGTCAGACGTCGAATTTATCAGCTAAGTCAGACCAAAAAGCAATTTTAGCCGGCCAGTAATAAATTTTCTCCCTAACATTTCATACAAACTTTTAATTTGTTAGTTTAGTTCGTCGTGTGTGAAGATCGATGTTTGTCCCAGAGACGATCTTCAGACGTTCTCTCCGTCTGAAGCAACTCGATTCGAGACGGATACAACTTGTTGGACGATCCTCTCTCATTCAGACGAAGTTAACTGAAACAGACGTTGAACTTTTCATGAACTTAACTCGTCTGATGCAAAGTTGGACGTTTCGCCTAATCTTTGGCGTGAATCCCAGTACTTTTTGCCAGCCATTTGTTTCGGAAGTAGCCGGAACATGCGTTCAATTGCTCTCTACTCGGAGACCCAGGGGCAATCAGTTGGGTCAGGAGAAAAGACGCCAATGCTTGAGAACTTTCGTAGTACCTTTTCTCCCGACCCAAGTGAACTGAGTCTCCTAGTATACTCCCTACAGTAATACAGTGGCTTTCCGTAGTTATGACTGACTAACGATGGACCTACAACAAGCGTGAAATGTTGGTCGAATAAGCAGGTAGTTGACTCATCATATAAAATACTGACGGAACTGACATGCAACTATGACTTATCGTCTGCCAAATATGACGCATATGACTTGAACGCCCTTTGTGCCCTTTTAACGACTTGCTGAATCAAAAACGTTTCTTTAAGTATAGAAATTTCTAGAGACTCAGAGCAAAATTTGAAACAAAAACAAACATTTCGTTTGAATGATTCGAACTTCATCAGCGATGTGAAGTGTCAGGTAGCATAACAGAAGAGGATTGAAATGGCCGGTAGACGTTATGGTTAGGTCAGCTTAAATGCCTGTATTGCTTCGTAATAAAGAAGTGATTGAATTTATGTTTTGGGTTAGGAAAACGGAGTGCCATATCAATGAGGTGGTCGTATATGATGGGACCAACATCCACATACAAATTCGCATAACCATTTCTCTTGATCGTTAGGAGAAAATTCATGTTAGGGACTTAAATGGACATAGTCAGCTATGGGAATCCGCTGACCTGAACACTACTTTTGCCAGTTTGAAATACTGAAACAGTTGAAAGAATGACATGTCATTGTTTTCTGCGACCAATCAGGAGAGAACTTACGAGCAGCTCTTACACAACTGGTTTGAAAAGCGTTTATCTCAACCTGAAATCGAATGTACGCGTCGGATACATCTAGAAGAGCCGCTTCAATCTTTCCCAGTGTTTCATTCCATCCTCGATCTTTTGCTGAAAACCTCTTTTTCAGCAAACGTTTTCTCATCCTATAACATTAACTTCCTATCATTTTAACAATAAAATGACTACTGAATACATCGGATTTATTTATTTAGGACCAATTTGTGAAGAAAAAAAGAAAAGAGAGGATTTGGAAAGGCCAGCAAGCTGCCAACATAAACTGCAGCATCGTTAACTTGTTTTCATATTAGTTTGATCTTTGCCGGTTTTTCGTAACCATTATCCTCCACTAACTTATTTTTTAACCATACATAGGTTAACTAAGGCCAGGTCATCCCTTAGCCCCGTCAGAAGATTTCTTTTGTCTAGTTTTTTGGGAGACTTTTCTATTGTATTTATTTAAATTTAAAAGCGGCGTTTCTTGATACACGAGGATTGTTAATTATAGAGCGGCGTTCTGATTTTCTTTATAAATGTCTTTTTAGCTCCTGATCCCCCAGAGCCTCCCCCTCTTCCTCCAACCTCTGAAGGTATGTGGCTCTATGTTAGACTATTATGTCGTAATATCTTAAGTGATAAATTGCTCTAAATTTTTGCGCGAAATCTCAACGTTTATTCATAATTTCACAATCGCTATGGCAACGTTCCGAATGGCTCCGCAGTGCCAATATGGCGTCACTAGCGACTAGACACAGGAATGACTCCGATCTTTTATTAAAAGATAGAAAACGTAATGAGATAATAATTTAAAATTGACTTTCCACCGTTTGACTCGATGGTGAACGACATCACCAAGATGTGTGACTTCTGTTTCGTTTTTCGTTGACACGTCACGGGGAAAGATTCCAAGTAAAGCAGACACTGAAATCAAAGTATAAAACATTTTTGTTTGGTATAGAAAATTCCAAAACTCAGAGCAAAAATTACGAAAAACACGAATATGTAGTGTTCAGTAGTAATGAGAAAATATTATCACAGCGGTCACTTCGGACTGCGAGAATACAGCTAGAATACTCTGAGTTATTTGGGTATGTAACCACTGATTGGTTACTGTGCTGGAATGGCGGTCTCCGAACGCTCATTAGACGATATGGTTAAATTTTTATTGTCAAAGCTTAAGTGCAACCATTGCGTTTTGTTTTCTCCCCCTATTTGTTTTAGGAGGTTCTCATACCAAGATTGTAGCCGCAGCTGTAGGATTGTTTGCCGGCCTTGTGTCGCTACTTGTTATTGTGGTGGCTTATCGAAAACGGGTCAGCGTTTGCCAAACTTTTTCGCGAGGTACGTGAATTTATTCTATAACTACTGTTGTCAATTGGTACCTGAGGCGTCCAAAGACAAACAGTAAACTACCATAATATCAACCTTTTTTTAAAATTTTCAAAGCACGTATGCAAGATTTCTCCCACCAGTAATATCGAAAGGCCTAAACTTGTTCTGGGATGGACAATAAGTATGAGCTTTGTTATAGTCACGCATGTGCACTGACGTGATAATTATTGGCCCCGTCGCGGAGTATTGTTCAGCGGATTGTACACTTACTCTTAAATGAAACTACATCTTTGCATTTGCTAAACATTGTGTTGCTTAATGATGGTTTTTTTTTAGGAAACAGAAGTGTCTTGGAGAATGTTAAGATTAATAACTCATGTTGTGTAGGTATGTACTGTATGACTACCTTCTCAATACGCCCCTCTTAAATTAACCTCGAACTGGAGCACTGCTTTGCAATCGGAAATTTTAACACAATTTAGCATTTCTTTGTAAATTTGACATTTTTCGTATAATTCCTAGGTGACTAGTCCAATTCTTGCCCAACATTCTTTTGATATTCCTGGTTAAATCGGCCCCGTCGCGGAGTATTGTTCAGCGGATTGTACACTTACTCTTAAATGAAACTACATCTTTGCATTTGCTAAACGTTGTGTTGCTTAATGATGGTTTTTCTTTAGGAAACAGAAGTGTCTTGGAGAATGTTAAGATTAATAACTCATGTTGTGTGGGTATGTACTGTATGACTACCTTCTCAATTCGCCCCTCTTAAATTAACCTCGAACTGGAGCACTGCTTTGCAATCGGAAATTTTAACACAATTTAGCATTTCTTTGTAAATTTGACATTTTTCGTATAATTCCTAGGTGACTTGTCCAATTCTTGCCCAACGTTTTTTTGATATTCCTGGTTAAATCAGCCTTTGATAGAGCTCGGCTACTGTCTGCGGAGCCGGATTGAGTTCGATCATCGGGGCCAAACCAATACTCAGAGTCTAGAACAAATCTTACTAAAAGAGAAGGCACTTTCTTGCAAACGGCCAGACCCTAGCGTGACTCGGATGACGCGGATATTTTTATTTCCCGTACGAGATAAAAGATTTTAAAAAATCAAACAACATCAGGAAAAACAAGCGATGTCCTCAGTTACTTAAAAAAGCCATTAATTGTCAGAATTTCGATCTAATGCTGATTTGGTGAACGTTCTTAAACTGTTTAATTAACAGCCTTTATTACGGACGTTTTCACTTACTCATCGAAACATTTGCTTTACAGATGATAATGAGGCAAACGGAAATGTGCAATTGCTGCCAGTAATTATGAACAACTTACAACAGTCGGGTAAGACAAACATCGTCTATTCATTACTAAGACCGAACGTAGTGTGGAAATCAATAAGCGACCATGTTTATTAGCTATCATGACAGTAAACTTCAAATCATACTGAGACGATGTATTCCGCGATGTTTTACATCATTGATGCTGTGGCAGATGTGAAATAAAGTCCATACCGTTGTATGAAATTGCTCCAAATTCACAACTGAAAGGCGATATTGGGCCGTCTGGTCGCTTCGGACGGTCAAGTGACAGTGGGTCTGATCCCTCTAGCATCGGAAATTTCATCATCAGTATCATCATCATCATCATAGTCATGTACATTCTCCAAAAGTAATGATAGCATCATCATCATCATGCATCATCATCACCACCATCGCCACGACGATCACCGTCTCCATCATCATCCTTATCACCACCACCACCACCATCATCACCATCATCATCACTTTCGCCACCACCCGTACCGTCACCATCACCACCTCCACCACCATCACTGTCATCTTCGCCAGCACTTCCATTATCATCACGATCACCATTATAATCTTCATCACAACCATCGCCACCACCATCACCACCACCATCACCATCACTGTCACCATAACCATCACCATCACAACCATCCCCACCACCACAACCATCACCACCACCATCATCACTATCACCATCACCATCACCACCATCACCATCACCACCATCATCACAAGCACTATTTCCATCACCATCACTATCCCAAACCATCACTATCACAACCATCGCCACCACCATCACCATCACCACCACCATCACCACCACTATCACCATCACTATCACCATCACCACCACCATCACCATCACTATCACCATAACCATAACCATCACCATCACAACCATCGCCACCACCACAACCATCACCACCACCATCATCACTATCACCATCACCATCACCACCACCATCATCATTACCACCATCATCACCATCACCACCACCATCACCATCACTATCACCATAACCATCACCATCACAACCATCGCCACCACCACAATCATCACCACCATCATCATCACCATCATCATCACAAGTACCATCTCCAACACCGTCACTATAACCATCATCACCATCAAAAGCACCATCACCATCACCATCACCATCACCATCACTATCACCATAACCATCATCGCCATCACCATCACCATCACCATCAAAAGCACCATTTCCATCACCATCACTATCACCATAACCATTGCCACCACCACCACCGTCACCGTCCCCGTTACCGTCGCGAGTCTGTTTGGTATGAAGTGAGCTTACATCGATCTATTTACTCAAAGACGCACTCGGCTCCTCGGATGGTCTGCATAACTTTGCGGCCGTCAAATGCAGCTATTGACTCTTAGATTTGCCTCTCTTTGCGAAAATGAGATGCAGATGGCCTGACGATAATCACCATCACCGTCACCATCACCACCACCACCACCGGTGGTTACATCACCGTCACTATCATCACTGAGTTCTTTGAGTTCGATTTACATAGGTCAGGTGTCTTACTTAGGTTGCCTTTCTCAGTTTCTGCTGGTATTTTCCTTTAACTTTGCCATCCCTATATGAAAGAAAAAGGCAAACTAAAATATGCCCACTTCCATCTCTCATTTTACTGAAGGATTAATAACTTGTCTTTGGTTTGTTAATAGGTCCCGAACGTTTCTACGCGTGTTATTACCCAGAAAGCGATGAATTCCAGAAGCTTGTGGCTTCTGTGGTGAATTTCTTTAGAATGAATGGTTACATGGTTGTAATGGACGTAATGAGCTGCAGCGAAATGGTAAATCTTGGACCAGAACGATGGGCAGAACAGCAGATTAAAAAAGCAAGCAAAGTACTCGTGTTTCTGTCACCTCGACTTTTACGTTTGTGTGGTGCAGAGGAGGACGAAACACAATACTCTAGTCAGGTATTGTCATATAATTTCTTTAAGTTACAAAAATATGGTTTTTGAGTTGCTAGAAGAAGTCAAGTAAAGAAATGTCTGCAATTAATGGACGATTGACGTCACGCGTAGACAGCGGCGAAGCGGCTCAGCTGGTTTTGCAGTGCGAAGCTCAAGAAAGTGGAGGGAGCTTACTGAAAGAGTAGCGAGAATAAGCAAGAAAACAACTCAGAGGATCGTGGAACTGAGAAATGTTAACAAGAACTACAATTAGAAGAGAAGAGGACTAGTTATGAGCTTGAGAGTGTTTAATTGGAACGACAAAATATATATTAGGTACATCCGCTTTTGTAGGACAAAGAATTTGTCATATTTTGAAGAGGTGTGCAAGAGATTCAAGTTATCCTCATCAAAAAAATATCAATTTACCTTATCCACTAATTTTGAAATGGGTTTCCAGGAAGATGATATTAAGTTTAAATCGTCGAAAGTAACGAGGTACCGACAAGCCAAATTGTTATTTTATTATTAAATTGTTCATTTATTTATCATATTCATTTATGCCTTCTTATCTACAGGAGCACAAGCGTGTTTGGTATGAAGTGAGCTTACTTCGATCAATTTACTCACACACTCACTCGGCTGCTCGGATGGTCTGCATAACTTTGCCGCCGTCAAAGGCAGCTATTGACCCTCAGGATTTTCCTCTCTGGGCGGAATTGAGATACCGATGGCCTGAGGATAAGAGAAGAATCTTGAATCGCTTGAACGACAGACCTAGAATTCAACCTTTGTAGATAGAAGGATTTACATACCGTCCTTTTTCCTTGCTATTACTTCAAAATCTGGCAAGTTTTTGAACTTTCTCTGTTGATTTGAGATAGTCGAACCAAACTTAGTTCTGTTACCAAGAAAAAGAAAACAAACAACAACACACAAGGACCTAAAACAAGTAACAATTTTCTTTTTCCCCTGGTTTGTCCACGCCTCGTGCCGTGCTATTTGCGCTTACAATAGCTTGCGAGGTTTGCTACTCAGTGCAAAGGCTAGAGTTGAGTTACTCTCGCGATTGTTTTGTACTTTGAAACCTTCCGCACGAATCCATAAGACTATGGGACAAGCTAAGAGCTTTAACATTTGCTTAATAGTAGAGAGGTAGTTTACTAATTAAAGCGCGCGCTTTACTTTAAGCGCGAATATGTAAGGGAGCCTCAAGTGAGAAGTTGAGGAAGAGACTAAGGCGATGAACTTGAAAGAACTGAAGTTCGCCAACTTTTGCATGTTTTTTCGAACCGATGCCCCAAAAGCATTCATTCTTTTGATGACTAAAGTACTTGTTTATAATGTTAGCTCTGCTGTGACTATAAAATGCTTTTTTTTGCACCATGACGTAACCCCTTTAACTTGAAAAGTCTTAATAATAACCTAGTAAGCAAATGCGCCTTAGGGCTATATACATTGAGCTATATCGTGGCAATGCGGGTTTTATTGTTGTTGTTATTATTGCTATTATTATTATTATTACAAGTGATACCGGTAAAAGTAAATTGTAATTACTTTACACTTTATATACCCTGCGAGCAGAGGCTACATTTTTGCTGTGTGAGCTGGCGTACGAAAAGTAGCTTCTGCCTACAACCGTTCAAATCCGTACATAAATCTGGACGAATAAATTAAAAGACAGGTTCTTTCCTGTTCTTGACCGGTTTAGAGCATTGCTAGCAGATCAGAGTTGTCGCAATTTTTTTATTCCCGCGAAACTCGCGCCATTTGACGACAGACCTGATGATTAATTTTGCTTGCGAATCGCGTGACGAATTTCGCGCATGCACGATAGAAAATTGAACGGTTGTCGCAGAGGCTACTTTTCGCACGACAGCTGACACAGAGAAAATGCAACCTCTGCTCGCAGGGCACACTATATAAAGCTTCGAGTTTAAACCTTAAAATAATTTGATCAAAAAAGGGTTATCTTTAAAAGCGGTAAAAATTTAGGAACTTGGATTACCGTCGGTATAATAGCAAAAGTTCAATGCCTTCAAAAGTCTTGCTCCAAGTTATATTTTTGAACTTACTAATATCAAGGAAAGTGGAGGCTACAACTTGAGCTGGTCAAACAAAGGACTGCTCCTACAAGCTCCAAGGGTTATTGGTGACCGTGCCTTGTTGGCTGTGGCACCAAAACCACAGTAGTTTTTAGCAATTTTTTTAAAACTAGCTTTTTATTACGTCCAATAGATGTGTTGTAAATTAAGTTAATCATGTAGTTTTACCTTTTTATAGTTTTTTTGTTAGTTAATAAACTTTTAAATGTTATGAGCATTTGATCATATGAACATATTATCTGCGCAATGTAAGTAATAATTTTATTAGTATTATATTGGCTTGGAAATGAGTTTCATCGATGGTATATTTGCGTTGAAACGACGCTGCATAGGCAATACAGAGTAAACTGTCTCAGAGACGGACACCTTTAGGTACTATACGTCCCTCTTAGAGAAATTCCCTTTTTATATAAAGCAGGGACCAATTGAAGGTCACTGAGTTTTAGCGAGGTGTCCGTTAAGACTGGACCATCCATCAGCCCGGTCCAGATGTGGCCACCTAACTGTTTATTCAGAAGTAAACTAGAAAAAAGGCGAATAAAGGCTATCCGAAGTTTTCTGACTAAAACAGAACGAAAGTAATCCAAGAGAGCGCAAAGAACACATTGCTCGCGATTGACGTTATCTACGTTTTGAGGATTACCAGTCCTTAAAAAAACTCTTTTCATATTATGCCGAAAAATAGGAAAAGTTTAGAATAAAATCAACGAGGAAATATTTTAAATGAATAATAAACAATTATTAAATTGATTTTCAACCTTCCCTAAATGAAAATGTCAGTAGTGAAAACTTTACCTGTTGCATTCTTTTCCTTGTATATGCAAATTTTCTACTACAGCTGTATATGTTATCTTCTGTTTCTTTAATTGGTACTTATTCTACATTTGTTCAACTGTTTATTACTTCTGAAGATGTATGTTGGAACATTTATACGAAACGGCACGTCAGTGAAAGTCTTCTTTTTCCAGAAATGGGTTTATATTTCCGTATGCTTATCATTGCAATTTGTTTCTTCTTAAGCTAAGATAGCCAAAAAACAAATAGTTGTCCTATTTGACCCCGTTTTTTGTCTTGTTCCCCCACTGAGGAGTCTGGTCCCAGGCTAAAAAACAAAATTATGTACGAAATAATATTGTTGATGATGATGATGATGGTTAATATCATTTTTGTTGATACTTCTATATGGCACCTATTTACCTCATTAAAACTAACAGTGCAGCATGCGCACTAACGAAGAAAAAATGTTAGGTGCGCTGCATGATACAAGCCTTCTCTCAACAGGTTTGTTTTTAGCGCTCTACTTAACCCTTTGACGATTGCATTCAATTGGTCGTTTTCGTTCCGTATATGGAACGATGCACATTTTGTTTCCTGCACCCTGTTTTAGCTTTCATTTTAAGCTAATAAGTTGGTAAGCAACAACGTCAGCAAAGATAGATCTTTCCACCGACACCTCACTTTGCCATATTCCGACCAATCCTAACACTGAGTTACTATCACAAAAAAGTAACATTGAAAAATCCACTTCTAATGTCGCTGTTTACCTACTACTCTTTGAAGAGTAAATCTTTCCCTTTCCTAAAATGGTAGCCAGCCACAAAACGCAAAAAAAGACGATAAAGTTTGCAACAAGAAGAAAAGCCAAGGAAAAAGAAGAGAGCGAAGGAGAAAGATCGAAATAAATTCACAGCACTGATCAGGCGGTGAAACGTAACGCTCCCTGAAACAATTAAGCTAGCAAGGCTGGGGGAATTCGTCAAAGAATTGGTTTGTGATATACCCGGGAAAAATGAAATTGAAATAATGAATAAATTGTTCATTTCGCTACCCTGTTTGAGAGTAAGGGATATTATTTTATGATCCTTGATCCTTTTCGTTTTGGCTTTTTCAACGAACATCATGGATAATATTTTTTTTGGACAAAAAAGATGGCCGTTTCCACAAATGTTTAACGCTCATCGCCAACATTCGTACTAGTTTCAGGTCTTTATAGATCCTACGTTCTTCGGCATATTCGTTTGCGGTCCTTTGCAGTCCCTTGTGGTTAATGTTTGTACTTTATGAATTTTTGGGCCGTAGATCTTTCATAGATCCGATATGCTGTAATTTTTGCATGGTTTTGTACATGTTTTTTTTGGGTTGGTTTTGGCCAACTCTTTATTTTCTCTGCGAGACATCAACTTGACACTTGGATTCTTGCCCCCCAGACGACATGTGGTATGACGCTGTCACAGCGTTTTGGGCATCCCCGCGTTTTGGGCATCCCCATTCCCATATCCCTAGCGTTTTGGGTATCCCCTTCTCATATTACTGCAGCGTTTTGGGCATCCCCCGGTACCCTCCCGGGATGCCCAAATCCCTAGCGTTTTGGGCATCCCCTCCAAAACAATTTGGGATTTCGCGGGAAAATCGAAAACCTTTTAGAGATGGATTCCGCTAAATATACAAATCTGTTCCGGTATCTTAAAAATAATGTTTATCCGGAAGCCTTTACAAAGCAGGACAAAACAATTCTTAGAAAATTCGCCAAAAAGTTTGAGTATGACTCAAAATTAGAGTCCTTGTTCTACGTGGCCAAGGAGAAGGATGGCACAGCGCTTCGACGTCTTGTTATCGCCGAGGAAGATAAAGCGAGGGTCTTCGAAGAGTGCCACTGATGATTTGAGGCCTCAGTAATTGTGTGACAGCCTTTCCTGTATCAAGTAGCGCTGCGGGGTTAAGTTGTACAGGCCTCAAATGTCATGAATACTATGAATGCAACACCGCGAAACGCAGTTTTATTCATGTTTGCCTTTTGATTCCTTTGTTTAGTATTCTTGTTTTTGGCTGTTTGGAATCAGACGATCGCAGCTGCCGGCGATTGCGGCATTGCTCGCTTGTAAACAGTTCTATTAAATAAAATTGAAAGCTTTGCAAACAATGAAGTGTTGTGTATCGAAGCAATGTTATGCGGTTGTAAATTTCAGTTTCGTCATTTTTTGTGCCAACGTTTACTGCCTATGGGTTTTTTTCTGCGCAATTAACCCGGCAAAAAGTGTCGGACGATATAATTCTAACATGCATCTACACTATTTAGCCGTAAATTCGTGATTAACAATCCCTACTTTTCCCCAGTCTGAAATAATTTAGGCAAAGTCGAAGTGATCAGCGTTTTGGGCATCCCCCACCGGGGATGCCCAAAACGCTAGGGATATGGGAATGGGGATGCCCAAAACGCTAGGGATATGGGAATGGGGATGCCCAAAACGCGGGGATGCCCAAAACGCTGTGACAACGCGATTCTGTGGGTGTTAGGAGTCCTGGGTCAGGGCTAAAATCAGAGTGCGCGGATAATTTTTCATCAGAGTCTGATCTCTGGTTGTTACGCCATACTGACGAGCCCCATAGAGGGCGAAACAGCTGTCTATGGCTACAATCCCGCTCTGTTTTGAGTGCTTTCGATGTCGTGTTGATGTCTTGCAGAGTTAATTTTCACGTAGTAAGATCAGCATTACAGTATTCTGCTTGCAGAATTTAATATGTCTACATTATCATTTGTGCTTTTCAGGTCTTTATAGATCCTACTTTCTTCGGCATATTCGTTTGCGGTCCTTTGCAGTCCTTTGTGGTTAATGTTTGTAGATTCAAAAGGCATCCGGTATAAAAAAGACATCCTGATTGCAAGAGGCTTAATTGAAAATGCTCTTGCAGTTTTAAAAGGAATAACACTGCGGTTACAAACATCAGACCTGTACCCTGTTCAGGGTAACCCGTTGAGGCGAAATAACAAAGCGCCTCTCCCCCCCCTCCGGGACTCTCCTTGAGACTGTAACATTCCAACGAAACCGTGAAAGCCACAGCTTAAATCAGGCTTTTAGTGAAGCTAGAACCTTCCAAGAATAGAGAAGTCTCAACGAACAGTACTTATTCAAGTTGAGAAACGAACTTATAGTGTCGTACCCAAGTTGTCCTCCGCCCGGGCGACATTTGAGTTCCGGTTTTCGGCGTGGACAGTTTCGAAGCATATATTGGTTTCCGAGGGGTGCGTCGGTCAAGAAAACAATTTGTGAACGTTTAATTTGGTTCGAGTCTGTGAACAGCTTCTGTTTTCAATTCATCAACTGTTCGATATTCCAAAAAAGCGGACACTGCCCCTCTGGTTGATGCTAATCTTTTACCTGTGTCTTGTTCTCAATCCGCTGTCAAAGTACGTCACAGTGCTGCCACTTTCGGAACAGTCCGAATTTAATCCTGCATGCACGGGCAGACAGAAACTGCGAGCGCCATTTGTTAAAATTCATCAGCAGCAAAGCTTATATTAGAAATCATTCTTAACAAAGCCAATCCATGGCCTTTGGAACTCTGCTAGTGTTGCTAGCTATGCTTCAATCTTCAATAACTGGGCGATCGAATCATCTGTCCAAGAGAGATATAAAGCCGCAGTCTTCAGCTATAAATGACAAGGTATGACACGACTTCATACTGTAAATTTGTTTCTAAATTCTATAACAGAGTACGTTTATTTAGCGGATTGTCAGTGCATAATTTAACCTAAAGCCATTATTTAACTAGAGAATGAATGGTAGTTTGCTTTTAGCACTGATTTTCGTGAAGAAAGGTGTGTTTTCGAATAAACGGATCGAAACATAAAAACAGCAATTGTTTAGGTGTCAAGTTCAGTCAGAGACTTGATTAGTGTACTGAAGGAATGCGTATAAACATCTTTGGAAGGTTGTTTGTAAACACTTTCGGTTTTTGCTATTAAGTTTGCTACATCAAATTCTAGCTCTCCCCCTTTTGAACTGAAATTGTCCGCTGCCATTACATTCACAGAAGGCCGAGTAGAGACCACTGACATCAGAGCTAAAAATGGATCGTTAATAAAAAACTGTTCTTGCTGCCGAGCACTAAAACACTGCCGCGGGGTCTCATTTTATGAGTACAACTGGATTAGTATTTATTTGCCTATAACTAGCTGTTATTCGCGGTAGCAAAGACTCTGAATCATACAATGGTTGTGGTTCAATATGCGCTTTTTGCCACATTCAGTTACGACTTAATGTTCCTTAATTTCGTTTAGTAGCGGCTAGCTGCCTGCGAAAAAGAGCAGTCTTTAAACCCATTTTTTTCGAAAAAGTGAACTGTTTCGCAGAGGCAACATGTTCTTCAACGAGATTTATCCCACGTTTTAAGTGAGAATCCTTGCCAAACTTCCCTCATTTCTAAGAAAATTGGCAGATACACGGGTCAGTATTCTATTACAAGCACGTACAAACTAACGCCAGATCAAAGGGTCAAGCTTATGTCAATAGGAAATCTTGTTACTGCTATAATTATAATAAAAATAATAAGTATGAATTTTCGTGAGAGGAAGAAGAATCTTGATACTTTTTAGGTAGGTCATAAAAGGCGGAAACTGAAGAAAAATTCTTTAGGCTTACTCGCTTGAGATTTCGGTCGGGGTGGTTAACTGAGCAGAATAAAATACAGAAACTACAGTCAACTAACTTTATAACGGACACTATAGAGGCCTTGAGTCAGTGTCATCATTAACGAGAGTCCGGAATAGAGGTAGTTTATTTCAGTCAAACATTTGTAATTCATTTTTGCATGTGATTTAGCTGCTGTCCGTACGTTTCAACAACAGTTTTTTGGTTGCCATGGTAGTTCCTTACTCCTCTTTTTAAAATTCTTATTGGGAAATGCTGGAGCACTACCCTGCGAGCAGAGGCCCCTCAGTCGGGAACATCCTGGTTTATATCTCAAGCCACTCTTCATTCAGATGAATTTGCAACAACATGTCCACTGATTTCCCGGAGGGGTACTATAGTTAATTTTTTGGGGGTATGTGCCGCTGGCCTTTGAGAGCCCCTTCCCCTTTAACATAACTTAACATAACATAACATAATATAACATTTTATTAGCATTAGCATTCCCATATACTGAAATGGTACTGCTTTTTAACTATTACAATACTGAATATTATAAATTAAATTATATTTAAAATAATCAAATAAACCGATAGTATATAATCAAAAGTTATAATTAGAAATCTCTATTTCCCATGCTTTTGTTCTATGGAATGATATTCTGTAAGTTGAAATGCTTCATAAACATAGTAGCCAAGTTTTTTACAAACTTATGGATCAATATTGTTAAAAAGAAATATAACTTTTTCAAATTTGTTCAAGTCTACGAATTTGGAGTACTTGGCTTCTACGTCTTGAAAAAAGTGTTGTCTTAAATTTTTGTATAAATTGCATTCGAAGAGGAAATGAATTTCATTCCCTACTTTATTCGACGAGCAAAGCTGACATATCCTATTTTATATTCCCAGGAAATTGAGGAAGATGGTATCTATCAATTTTGATTCCTTGATCGTAATTTTGCCACTGCCTGGCGATGTTTTTCGTTTTTAATAAGGTCTAATTGAATATTCAGATCTATAGACACCAGTCTTAAAAATGGAATAGAAATTCAGTTTTTTTGTAAGATCGCAACATGTGAATCTGATCCTTTTTGAAGTTATCTATGATAGCCTGTTTTACTTTTGGTAGCTTCGAGTTAACCAAATTTGGCTCTACACGAATTCTTGCATCTGCTACAGTATTGTACTTTCATGATTTCGTGAAAAGACAGTATGAAAGACGGTTTTCTGTTGTTTGCTAGTTGATTTGAAAGTAAAAGGCATTGCTTTGCAATACTAGTATCGGGTAGATTAACAAGATGTAACCAAAATTTTATGACATTTAGATAAATGTGAGATTAAGTGATAGTCTTCCTACTTCATTATCTAACGAGATTTATTTGTAGCTCTTTTATTTAGGCCAATCAAATGTTTGTAAAGTTGTGTGTAAATTTTTTGAATGGGGTATTTTTCCCATTTCTTAGCATCAGTTCTATCATAGGCATCCCATACCTCAGAACTGTATAGTAATATAGGAAGAAATAGGGCATCAAAAAGTTTATTGCATACATATAGCCACTAAAAGCTTATAATAAATATTAAAATCAAGATTATAGCGTTTTGCAGCAAATATTGATCTTCTTGCTTTCTCCGCAGATAATTGCTTGGAAATTGAGAAACTCCATTTGAATTAAATGTTATGCCTCGAGAAGAGTATTCTGTGACATTAGCGATTTGATTCCCATTTAGGAAGAATGTTATCTCTTGTTGATTTACGGTTTTGTTTTTGAAAGATGTGTGCTTTTGTTTTTTAAGATTTATTTTTAGTAATCAATATTCATTGAGGATATTAATTTGTTTTTGAAGACCCTGTGCTTTTTTGGAAATTAACGCTAAATCATCTGCGTAAAATTATCAAGAAACGGGTAATCCGTTCGATGGAACTGTTGGGTCTTTTGGTCTAATTTGGGTGTCAAGTATACCTGCTATTTTGTCTAGATCGTACTCCTTTGTTATAGTTAAAGTAGTGGGTCCTCTTATTGCCAATTTTATAGCACATTTTGATTTTGAATACCTGTCGGCGATGAAATGATAAAACTTATCAAGCACTTTATATAAAAGAGCATCATGCCATACCGTATCAAACGCTTTTTGATAATCAACAAAACAGCAAAATATAATTTTCCTTTGTTGGTATTCACTACATACTTGTCGATTAAAGTTCTTAATGAGAAAATGTGATCAGTTGTTCTAAAGCCTTTTATGAAACCAATTTGCGATGAATGTATCAAGTTATTTGTCTCAAAAAAACTGCATACCGTTTATTCCATAGGGAACAGAATAATTTCCCTAGGTAACTGGTGACGTAAATACCTCTGTAATTCAAAGGATCGACTTGTCACCTGATTAAGATTTGAATACTGGGCTAATTAAGCCGGAGGGCCAAGCATCTGGACAGTAAAAAGTTAATTTTGTGAAAGATGGGGCTAGTATATGAATACCACATTTCAACATTTCACTTCGTATTCTGTTCGGACCTGGTGCTTTTTTAGATTTTAACAACTTATTTGGCTGCTTTTGTATCATTTTCTGTAAAAGGCTGGTAAAGATTGTTTTGCAGCATGAAATTCAATTCTTTACTTTTCAGGTCTTTTAACCCTTTAAGTCCCAATAGTGACCAACATCAATTTTCTCCCAATGATATCCCTACGTTGTCAAGAGACTAGGTTGTTAGAATTAATAAAATGATCACCTAAGAGAAAATACTTTGATCTTTTGTCAAATTCTCTCAACTCATTCTTAAGGAAATATATGGAGATCAGTTTGGAGAAATTGTATGTGGATATTGGGGCTTAAGGGGTTAAAACGTTTTCTTGACCTTTACCTACTTGTGAAAATGACTGTACAATTTGTCTGTTGGAAAAGCCGTGTCTCGCGGCACAGAATGTGGTTCATCAGGAGACATGGACTTTAAAGTTGACCAAAATTTGGTTGGATTGGATGTAGTAACAAGTTCGTCGATTTTACAATTTTGGTATTCTTGTGTTTTTTGCGCCTCACTAAGGTCTTGTAATCTTTTTAAAAGAAAAATAATTAAGTCTTGTCTGTTTGTCAGAAGGGTTGGGATGTTTTTTATTTGAAACTGAATTTAGGTGTTTCCTAAAAAAGCTATGTTCCTGATCAAACCAGGGCTGTGATCGCCGTTTGTTCTTTTTTTGCTTGACAAAGCCTTATTGAAGAGATTGTTTTGCTGCTGTTTCTAGTATTACAACAAATTTTGATACTGCCTAATTGATATCAACAGCTTGTTGAAGGTCAGATTTTTCAAAGTCTGATATTAATCTTGTTAGCTCTGTGGTTTGCAGGGGGGCTAAAAATTTTTCTCGATCTTGAGTCTGGAGCCCACCTAAATTGCCTAAGTAGATCAAATAAGTCTACTCTAGATTCATAATTTCTTTTAAAAGCGTTGGTAGCACGTATCTTGATCGAACAAATTATTAGACCATGATCGGAGAAAGGAGATGGTTGATGTACTATCAAGTTTTGAAAGTGTTGTAGGACATCATGACTAACGATAACATAATCAACCGTGCTAAATGCCTTGATTTCCATGAAAGGTTCTTTGACCGAAGGTGTCACCTTTACATCTCCCGTTTGAGATCCTGAGATCCAGGGATTTACACATTTCTAGTAGAAATGTCCCACGGTCGTTAACGAGACGATCAAACTTTTTTGTCTGCGACGCGTCATCTGGGATGGGTAGGTCATCTACAGGTGGGGAGGGGATTTGCTATTCTTGTCGACTAGAAAGTCTCTTTCTACGCCAGTTCTAGCTTTAAAATCTGCGGCTAGAATAAAGGAAAAAAATTTTTTGAAATTATTGACGACCTCGCTCTCTAGATTTGAGAATGTGTCAGGATCGAAGTACAATGAGTCTTTCGAAGGATGTAGCAGCAACAATTACGTCCTTCCTCATATGAAAAAGAGCTGTATCTATCCTACAGCAGATGTAATTGGGAGTTTTCTTGATAACTGTAATTTGTGGAGCTAAAAACTTTTTGACTGCAACTAAAATACCTCCAGACCAGCGGCCCGATTTTTTATAGACCCTATCTTAGTCACTTCTTTGCAAATATGTAATTTTCGCGATTCCAACTTAGTCACTTTCTATTTTTATGAATTGACCCAGTTTTTAGATTGATTGAAAAACCCTTTACTTTTCATCGAAAATGCAGTACAAACATTCTGGTACGTTTGCTAACAGTAAACAAGGAAGAACTGCCTTACCCCAAAAAATGTGCGACCCCATTCTAGTAACTTTATTGAAAATGCGACCCCATTGTAGTCAATCCAGTCGGGAAATGCGATCCCATCCAGCGGCACACCCCCATTATTGGCCTCTTAGAAGGAAGTACCCCCCTCGCCCTAGTTTCAATACTATCGGGTCTGGGTGGTGTCTATACTTGCCCCCAAGTCGAGCTCAAATTTTTTCTTGGCGCGAACTATTTGCGTCCTGTCGCGTGTGTCGTCGCGAGCTGTCAAAGTACGAAAACAAAAACAAATAGCACATCCTTTCCACACTCGATCACTTGTTGTTGATAACATCTTTGTAGTTCGCTTTCCTTAAACCATACGTGATCGCGTCCTTGATAGAACACATTTGCACATTTGCACTCGGCTTTGTAATTGAATACAGTTGTAAGACAGCCCATAAAAAGTAAACAGCTCAATTTGGACCAAAACAGTTCGAGTCACGTTTCATGTGGCGTGATCGCGTTTGATTGACGGCGCATCAGTAAACCCGTTCGTGATTTGATAAAACCCACAGGAGGAAAATTCCTCCTGTGGATTTCGCGGCTGCACGGGATAGAAGTCCTTCGTGTTGGGGCCAACTACCAGAACCGGGAATGGGAAGCAAAGGAGTTTGAGAAGGTCTAGGTTGTCTCCTCTGAAGTCAAATGTTCTAAATCAATCGTTAGAATTTTTGAGACGCTGAAATAATTATTTTAAAATGAAGATCTAAGTCTAAATGCCTGTATCATGTGCTTCAGTTTACCGCACCGATCTTTTTTTTTTTCAATCCACGACGGTTTGAATTAATTTTTTCCCGTGTTTTGTTTCGAAAGCTTTTATGATGAATTAACACATAATTAAGTTAAAGAGCCTGAAAATAAGCAATTATAGCTTTTTTTCTGTTTCTCTACCGGATTCAACGAGGAAAGTGGCTAGAGCTTTTTTAACGCCAATGCTAAAGCAGGGTTAAATCTATCAAGTTAAAGATAAAGAGGTCAAATTCAGACGCTGAGGTCCTTTTTTTTTGTTTAATCCTAACCACAATCGAAAACTTAAGAGAAGCGTCAAGGAGAGAAAGCGAAAGGAAGAAAGTCGAAATCATGCCTTCATGTGCATGTCTAAACTAGGGAAGTGGCAATTTTGAAGTCTTGTGCTCGACCTATGACAATATTTTGGGCATTATACTATATTATAGAGCGTTTTCACATGGCCTCACGGCGGCGACCATGTTGGTGTTCCTAACAAATCCTGTGATAGTCGAACTCTTTTCGCATGTAAAAATTTCTTTTGTTTCCATAAATTTGCATAGATTCTGGCCACGTGATTGAAAACGCTCTACATATAGTGACTAGACAACGCCTCGTCCGGCATCAATAGGCCTTTTTGGGCACAAGCTCCTGAGGGCGAATGGGTTGATTACTTCATAATATTGTTTTGTTTTTTCTTTCAGGATTCATCCCCAGTTTCTTGTAATAATAAAACATGTGAACCTAAAACTAACGAAGGTGAGGTTATAAATCTCCGTCTTTGATTTTTTTTATATAATTTGTCTTCATTCATCTGTAATGAAAACGTTATTCAGAGATCCACGTTGACGTCAATGATATCTACATTTTCGTATATGGGATTCATACACACTGTACATTCTATATATTTTTCTTCGGGAAGAATTTTAAAACACGTTAATCCGTTTTTTTTTTGTTTTGCCGGTGCTATCTATGTGATTCGCTGGTTTTGCACTGCGCATCTCTTACTGTGCATAAAAAGACGGCCGCCGTGAAAAAGAGCATTCTGAAGAAAAATTATTAAAATGATGTTGACTGAAGAGAAATGCTATTAAATTTTCGCTTGCGGTTGTTTCTTACCGAGATGAGACTTTATGTGTTGGGAATGTGCATAACTTAAGCAATTGACAACTACAATAGACCTTTTTACCGATACGGCGGCCATATTGAATTAATTTGATTTAAGGAGTATTATAGGATGCCCAGGGGGCATGAGCACATTTCGTTTGTATTTTCGAGCGCTTTTCGGGACATTTTTTCTCAAAGTTTTGTTAGAATAAGATTGTAATGGGAAAAAAGATCCTCGTGCCGTGTTTGGATGTAATAATGATCGCCTTTTCCCGAGAAATATACAATGAAAGACCATATTTCTAATACTAAACTAGAAAAAGGCGATCATTATCACATCCAAACACGGCACAAGGATCTTTTTTCTCATTACAATCTTATTCTAAGAAAACTTTGAGAAAAAATGTCCCGTCGAAAATACAAACGAAATGTGCTCATGCCCCCCCTGGGCATCCTATAATACTCCCTAAATCGAATTAATTATTATTATATGGCCGCCGTATCGGTAAAAAGGTCTATTGCAAAAGAAAACGTGCTCACCATAATTCGTTACACACCAGAAACAATGGGTAAGCAGCAAAACGTCCCAAGGTGAAACTGGATTTTGCGCGTCGTAGTTTTTATTTCTTAGGTACCTCGCTTTTTAATTCATTGCCATTAAGTTTAAAAACATTAATTCTAAAGTTTTATTTAGAAAAGCCCTGGACGATTTTTACTTGTAACTTTTGTAGTTTTTAACCGTTTTCAACCTAGTGCATGTTTCCTTTTTATATATTTTTGTTTATTCTTATTTATTAGATTTTGTAATTTTTCATTCAGCACGACCCCGTTGATAACTTGGTACTGAAGGGTTATCCTGGATAAATTTTCGATTATTATAATTACTATTACGCGTGTTGCTGAGTTCGACTTCCTCGCGGAGAACCTCGATAGTGGAGCGGTTAAACTTGTACTAACTCAATTTGATTTTCGTTTAAGTGCCATCTTTATCACATTTTGTCCTAACTGTGATATCTCGATGTAAATTCTGTAAAAACGGATTTTAAGAAAATCCTTTCTTGCTCCTTCCACATACATGCCATTTTGAAACTCGCCCTAGTCCTCTCTCAAAACTCGGAGGAAATTCATTTGGTGCGCACTTTATGCAGCTCTACCACAAAAACGAGCATGGTGACCCCATTTTTTATTTCATGATTTTAATAAGAAGATTGCTTCCTTTCAATGAGAAAACTATTGGCATAAATCTATGTTCAGTTTTTTGGCGATTTTAATAAATAGACCTTTTTACCGATACGGCGGCCATATTGAATTACATCGATTTAAGGAGTATTGTACGATGCCCAGGGGGCATGAGCACATTTCGTTTGTATTTCCGAGCGCTTTTCGGACATTTTTTCTTAAAGTTTTCTTAGAATAAGATTGTAATGGGAAAAAAGATCCTTGTGCCGTGTTTGGATGTAATAATGATCGCCTTTTTCTATTGCTAGTATTAGAAATATGGTCTTTCACTGTACATTTCTCGGGAAAAAGGCGATCATTATTACATCCACGCACAAGCTAGGATCTTTTTTCCCATTACAATCTTATTCTAAGAAAACTTTAAGAAAAAATGTCCAGAAAAGCGCTCGAAAGGACAAACGAAATGTGCTCATGGCCGCCGTATCGGTAGAAAGGTCTCTTGTACGGATTGAGCTATAACGGGTCGAATAGCGCGTGTTCAAATTAGGTCTTAGACTATTTTGGAGCGTTGAGTCAAAACAAGGGCATTGAAGGGCATTTTTTGGTACGTAAGTGAATAAATAATACATTTAAGTCAAATTCCGTGCGATACCTTTTGTTAGGAAATTATTGCGTCATTGTGGCGGGAAAACTCATCACGTGATCTGAGAAATGATCTTTGTACGAGAGTCTTGGAACTGTGTAGTCGTTCGGAGTCGTGGAGCTGGACGAGTGTGTAGACGAGTATGGATCATCAAAATTTTTGGGCGAATTGATGTTGCTGAATTCTTTAAGTGTAGAACAGAGTACAGAAACATGTGAAGAGATATACTTGCCAGGGAGTGAAGGATTAAAGCTAAATGGAACTGGTTTTATCACACATAATTTATGACACCACGCGCATTATCTAAAGAATCTCTCCTTTTTGTCTCAGTTTTTGGCTGCGCGCGGTTTTTGCCAAAGAGTCTTAAATAGCCGTATTTGTCAGCATTGTGACGTGAAAACGAGCGCGGTGAACCCCATTTTTTTATCATCATCTTGACTTGTCACATTAGTGTACCAAGTTTCATCTACAATCTATGTTGGGTTCTTTTACTAAGGAATCACCTTAAAGAAAACATTTTGTGGTGGTCTTATAAAGATGCTGGGTTAAGGTATTTCTAATCAACTATTTTTTTCAAGGCCTCGGCTGGCTTGTGAGCTATCCGATTGGTCTTAAAATGAGGGTGGGGAAAGAGGTTTTTAGCCCCAGGGAGTAATAGGGTGCCGGGACTAAAGGGGGACCAGTGCTCAATGATGTATCGTAAGAACTGGCAGTGTCTGAAATAACTCCCTCGTTCGCACCATATTATAATTAAAAGCTTTAAAATATTCTCCTAATATATTCTCAATATTCTCCTTGACTAATTTTTTCACACCCAAAACCTTGACTGGAAAGAAGCATTGACAGTTTACATTTACTCTGAAATTGATAGACATGGATAGTATTCAATTTTTTACCGCGATCAAACAGTCTTAAAACGAACGAGAAGGTGATTGTTCCTTTTGAACTTGGTTTCAGAGACCCTTCATCTTCTGATCAAACGGAGTCGGCAAAAAAAGGAGAATTAGGATGAATTATTAACGCTAATAAATATTTTAAGAAAACATTCTATTTCTCATTCATTGTACATTTATAACTTTATAAATCATCTATCTACTCTATGAACACACGACGAACCCTTCATTTCTTATCACTAACGACCGCCATTTGGAGTCTGTACAGCGGGTTTGGGGATCATTTCGGGTCGGGATTATTTCGAGGAAGTCCCTTGTCAACTGATTAACTCCGTTCCTCACAATGTTCACTGGGCAGGCCTGACTTAGGGTCAATATGTGGTCCAATTTTCAACGGCTTATTTGATATGAATCCCAGTGTTGACTAAAATTAATAGCTACTAACAGTTGGTGTCAGGATATCGATGTTATTTGATTTAAAAGCTAAAACTTTCCAGTAATTTAGTACGATAGCCAAGCTACCATTTTGTATTGATTTTATGATCAACCGGCAAATACCAGAGGCCTTTTATAATAGTTTAAGTTGGCCTTCATTTTCTGGCATTTCCAACGTCACAAACATGACCTCTTAAGACTTGTCGATTGTAAAAATTTAAAACTTTGTTTCAGTATCAGGGAATGTTTCTTACGAGTGCACCCTTCTCTCGAAGTTGCGTGCTGCCATGTTTTGTGCGAAAAACAGGCATAAAGTCGATTTTTCCCACCTTTCATAACTTACTCTTTAAAATGAATCTTTTGAACCCCAAAATATTTTTCCTTAATTTAGTCAATAAAAGGGATGTTTTGGCAAAATAATTAAAAAATCGATTTTGTGACGAGTGTCTTGTAATTCTCGATTTTCTCAGAAAATGGTTCTTATAAGGTAAGGAAAGTACATAATTACGTAATAAGGAATTAAAAATTAGGGAAGAGACAAAGTACACCTTACAACACGTATAGTAGACCTTGTCACGGTTTCGACGCCATCTTGATGAGTAGGCAAACATGTGAGAAATTACTGTTTGTATAAGAATCTAATGTGGAATAATTTCCAAAAAACGGCTGTTCTGAAAAAAACTATCAGTTGTAAACTATATCTACAAGGCAAAGGATTGTCCTAGACAATTTTTGGGGCGTACCTGTGCAGATTTTTTCATATATTTGTCTGTAATTTTCCTGGGACTTGCTTACAGACAAATGTATAGAAAGTTTAAAAAGGTGGTTCTCGGTCTTCTGGTGCATTTATCGACCTTAATTTTTTTCAGTAGAATCCTTAGCAGTGAAGGTTTAGTTTACAAATCATATTTTTTTTTCAGAAGAGCCGTTTTACGGAAATTATTCGACATTAGATAGCCTACCCCGTCAAGATGGCGTCGAAAACCGTAACAAGATTTGTTCTTTTTACAATATAATGGCCTGGCTTTAATAATTAATGGGGTTGTACTCCGTTTTCTTTTCTTGTCAACAGTATGTTCTTTCGAAGTGCCTCTGCAGTGGAAGATAAAAAATTTTACCGTTGTTTTCCATGAAATGTACAGAGGAGAAGCTTCGAATTGGTCCGTTGAAGTGTCATGGAGTCCCATTACGGGTAAAGCATTATAAAACATTTCATGCAAATTATGCCGTGTAAAAATATCTGTGCCTTGTTTGGCACAATACAGGTGCTGACTCTATCCTCAACACGCGTAAATAGCTCTAACTTAAGGACACCAGTTGCTCGGAACTCTTGTCACATTAACTAACTTGTGATCAAAGTATTAATTGCATCTCTTCTTGAGATAAAGGTTTTATCCATTCACCACTACCTTAAAATTCCGTTCACTGATAATAAAAGAAACATCATGATATGTTATTTTGTGATCGATATGGCCCTGTTGGAAATCTGTTAATTCATTTAATATCAACTGATAGTCACTGTCCTGGCCGCAATTTTGCAACCTCGTCTCCAGGGCGCTTTTCCCTGGGCGCTTTGGAAAAAGCGCCCTCGGGACGAGGTTGTCAATTTTGCAAATCATCAGTCTCTGGAAAAACGTTGGTTTATGGTATGGTTTGTACGTCAAACGTTCATGGTGCTGACTTGCTGCTTTTTTTTACTTACTCTTTTGGTCAGGTTCGCCTCAAAATTGGAGTGGTTATTGTATCTTTTATACGACTGATTTTCCCGAGAATTCTCATCCAGTAACAAAAGATTTTCTGCTTAAGGTAAAGAATTATACGTAAAAGTAACTTCTTATATTAAGCGTATAACGTTTTGTTTTTTGTGTGTGTTTCTTGAAGAAATGCCCCCCTCAATTCGTACCCTTTTCCCCTCCATTCTACTCCCCATTACGCTACTTCTCGTTTCTTACTTTATAACACTCAGTGTACAATTTTATAGATGTCACAATGAATGTCTTTTCCTATTTTACTTAATATACTGAGTCAGGTATCAGTATCAGTTTCTTGATCAGCTTATGCTTTCTTGGAGAGTCTTATCTCTCCTTATATTCACCGAATTAACCCCTTCACCTTTATTTGACTGAAATTTTGACTGAAATACATTTCAGTTTCCATTTTCTCACAATTTCTTTGAATTTTATAATGTGTTTTTTGTTCGTTCCCTTTAAGAATCAAACAAGTGTGAACCTTACTTTTTCGGAAGAAGAAAAAATACCATTTTACGTCACAGTAAGTAGAATAAATTTATCAATATTTAACATATAACCAGACCTTTATTGTAAGTGGACAAATGAGGCCAGAAACCTCCTATAGATAGACGCAAGGAAGAGGGGAAGAAATGGAGAGAAAAGGGCAGGAGATTTGTCAAAATATCAGCTGTCCTTAAAGGACAATCAATCTTAACAGACAAAGGAAAAAAAAAAAACAACAACAACGTCAAAAAACGCAGTAGCCCCTCCCCCCTCCTCCACACCTCTCTGAGCCGTGCTCTCTGCATCATGCTTTAGCCGTCTAATTTTCCGTTTAACCAACTTTCGAGGACTCAGAGCTATCTTACGATGGATACCTGAGATCAAAAGGGCTATTGCAAAATGATTCAATTTAGTCTTGGGCTTCTTACCTTTCGGATTAGCTAACGGATGGAGATGGCTTAGCTTTTATATTGAAACCTCAGTGCATGCATATTAAATACCTGGGCTTATAAATGTTCGCGTGGGGATTGTAGGCGAGCTTAAAAAAGAAAGGGCCTATAACCGGAAGTGATGTTAAAAAGCGTATCGAATCAAGCTGAAACAGTTCCGATAACAATACGTTTTGCATTAACTAGTTCTTAATTAAGCATCAAAACCTCATAATAAATTGAATTTATTATATTGCAGGCAATAATGGGGAGCGGGTGGGGTGATACAACCGGCGCGGGGGTCTTAAATAACTGGGGGAGGAGGGGCTTAAAAGTGGGGGCTTATAAAGCGGTAGTTTACGGTATCGGAAGTGGAGGGTCTCATCGCGTTCCATTTGTTCAAACCCAATTTCCCAGTTTCTGCGGCCATTTCTTGGCAAATGCGACTGGCCTGATCCCAAAACAAGATTTACTATTACCATTAACCCTCGGACGTACACGCAAATTCATACCCACACTGTGGTACAAGCGGGGGGGGAGGGGGTGTGTTGTTTTTCATAGGTTGCAGTATTTCGAAACGATTTTACCTTTAGTGGAAAGCCTTTGATCTTCTTAACAATGGTTGCCATCTTGGCCGTCATCTTGGATTTTACCAAGAATTAAAAATCAGGCTAAAACCGCGAGAAATGGTAATTTTTTTAGCTTTACATGAAAAATAACACAAAAATAAGCACTTTGCACGATTTTAGCCACAAGATTTACTTTTATTGTTGAACGAAGTTGAAAAAACATGTATTGTCAAACTAAATTGGCTTGACCACCAGCTACTTATGACGTCGTATACCGTAACCATAGCAACTGACTATCACTGAACTTGTCTCAAAATGTGCGCGAGGGATGTGAACGATTAGCTACTGAAATCGTCAGGTGTTGATGTTTTATCCTTTAGGAAATAAACGCAAGAAAACCTTATTGGAAGAGGGGGCGGAATCCACCAATCCCCCCCCTCCTCGTACGCCCGAGAGTTACGTTTTGTTTTCCATCTGCCCACCAGTTAACCTACTTGTCTGCCCATAAAAAGGGTAAACAACCATTTCTATGGGCAAATGTAACAATATTTTTCCATTACATATACCGGTGGTAGTAAAAGATCACTTCATCTTTTTGAGGTCAACTCCGTGAGTAGCCTTGCTAGATTTGGTAAAATGACTTCATAATCATTAACATTATCTTTCGACTACCATCTTAGATTATGTCTTCCTGTCTCGCTAAGGAGCCTCAAATGACATTCGCGCAATCTCTTCCAAGTTCATTTAATCTTTCTCTTTCGATTACGTGGGGAAAAACGAGGACTCTACTCAGCGTTTGAATAAGGCATCATGAAATGTTACCTATTGTTGGTGCATGTTTTATTCTTGCAGGGCTATACTGTCCCGCTGTTTCCTGATACCAGCTTACCGGTCGAAAAATTACAATTGTTGAGATTCAGTCCAAACGTTTACGAGCCGACGAATTCTGGTAAGAATATTTCACTGTAAAATGACCATTTATGGAGCTAGTCGAAAATCGCTTCAAAGCGGCTGAAGAGTTTGATAGATAATGTGAATCGATGCCATTCATTGTGCTGACATTTAAGACTCGTTGCCGGTATAACCTGCGATCAGGCGTCCTTGGTCTTTGTATAACGGGACAATCTTTTTACCTTCGCCGTTCGCCCACTTTTTCTGTCCCGGAAAAAAAACACCTGACGACAGGTTATTGCTGGTGCTGGACCGGGTTTATTTTCTTATTTTCTTTCTTTCTTTTTTTTTGTTGTTGTTTTTTTAGCTTCCAGCGACGGCCAATCCCCCCCTCCCCCCCCCCTTCCTCTATAACTTTAAAACTGCTCATGATAGTCGGCGACCAAAGTTAGCTATAATACTTACACGTACGGTGTCTGATAAAATTAAGTAATTGGTCAACGCAAATGGTCATTATCAACAGCAGCGATATCATGATGACGCCATTTATTATTTAAAAAAGGAACTGGAACCTTCCCGCCATCTTGGATCCCCGTTTTCAATTAATTATTACATATTACTTTAAACCCGTCGTATAAATCGGAGTAATATTGATGGAAAATCTGTAATCTGTGTATAAAGGATGCTTAGGAAGCAAACACAAAACAACACAAAACAAAACAAAAGCAAAAAACAAAAAACTCTGCATATTATGAAATTCCGACGGAGAGAGAAAAAAAACACTGTTGAACTCAGGATCTGCCATTTGGTCATTTATTTATCTATTTATTTTTTTGTTAAAGTATGGATTTCACTACCATTTACAAAACTTTGATGAAATAATAATGTTAAAGTACGGGTAAGATAATAATCCAATACGTGATACGAGAAGGTGCAGTATTCATGGCTTCAACACCCTTTTCCATTTTTTTGAACTCAGTCTTTTATATTTCAATTAAGTCAATGATTAGTTTGAAATGTCCTTAAACCTATTCGTTTTGATGAAGAAAGGAACAGGTATGTAATTACAAACTTTCTTATCATGCAACTTCTTCTTCAGCTGCTGCAGTCGACTTTCCTTTCCGGAGCACTACAAAGAAAAGTAACGGTACGAGTAACCACAGTAAAAAATTGCGTACCTTTCATTTCGTGTTTGTGGCGTAGTACATTCCGGATGCAAACAAGAAGAGCAATTATAATAGTTTTCCATTGTTTTCCTCCTGTAAGCTACAAATTAAGGCAAAGCCTACCAGTGATCATGATCTCCTTGTTTGCAGCTGGTATGTACTACGCCACTCGGGGTGTACAAATAGCTTTCCGTGCACAACTTGAAACCAAACATATAATTATTTGCAAATTACGTGACGAAATAAACAATTTTCCAGAAAGGAAAATAATGTGTTAGGACCTCATGTGACCCCGGAGGTTTAACTGTAAAATAAAGTTTTCAATTTCGTTAATATTTCGTAAAGAAAATATAAAGGAAATTAACACGTAATCCATCAGGAAATTGAGTAAGTTTAATTTTCAGCGGACAAAAACCTCGTACCAAAATAATTTAATAATATCGCATTCTTTTTTACATTTTTCAAGGGCTGTAAATGTAATTAGTTACGGTAGAACCCAGATTTCTCGAACCTCCAGGGAAAATGCAAATTGGTTCGAGAAATCGGGAAGCCACTGTAACTGTATCTGTAATAACACCAAAGAAAATTTCTCATGAGAGCCCGCGAAAATAAGTGTCAAATTTCACAAAATGACACCTTACACATGAAATTACCGGAATTTTACCTGGCAGTGGCGCAGGTGTTTTCACAATTCTTCTGAAATTTGACATTCTTTTTCTCGGGCTCCCATGAGAAATAGTCTTTGGTGTTATTACAGCTAGCTAATTATATCTATATAGCCCTTGAAAAATGTAAAAGATAATGCGAAATTTTTTTAATTATTCTGGTAAAAGGTTTTTGTCCACTGAAAATTAAAATTACTCAATTTTCTGATGGATTCCATCTTGATGTTTAATGAGTGTGTGGAAATCAGAGGAAAAACTGCTCATTTTTGCATTCTTAATTAATTTCTCCTTCTAAAATCATTTTGTTTATGAAGTAATATCAAGTATTCGAAACTCTGCTCATCACCAGATGAAACACCTGGAAGTTCGACAGAAATACTCCGCGTGCGTCTCATGCTTGATATATTACTTTTAAAACAAACAAAACAGCAACAAAGGGAAAACAATGGAAAACTATTAATATACTTACCGTGAGGACAAAAATTGCAGTCGCAGACTATAACTGCGCGAATCCTCGTTCACTAACAGATAGTCTCCCGTTTCCCTCAAATATTCATAACATACATTACAGTCGTAGAGCTCTGTTATCGGTCACAAAGAAAGGAATACTTGTAAGTAATTACTTAAGTTTTGTATCTTCCCATTTTTTCTCGATAACTGAGGAACGTATGCAGCCTCGATCCTCGCCCCCCTCATACATAGTTTTATGGTTCCAGCTTACTAATTCAAATATTTGTATGTGTTTTCATTTCCAGATTCTGTTGTATTATTGTCCATATCCATATCTGTTGGCGTCCTCGTAGGACTCGGTTTGGTTGCGTGTCTTTTAGTGTACTTTTTGTGCTCCAAGAGGGGTAACGGCAATAATCCCTTACCTCAAGGTTTGTATATCGTGAATTCCTTTCACGTCAAATTAACACAAACCACTAGATGATGAGCATCCCAGTCATTTCATTTCATACAAAGTCCGTACCCTCTTGGGCCTTCAGCATCATTCTTCCCTACGGCGTCAATTCCACTTCTCGCCGCAATGAAAATTAAAGGGAGCCCAGAGCTCTGAACCTGTGAAATCTAGGGTGCCCTGCATATGATTTGTATGAAAAAAAAAAATTTTTAGGCGCCTAAGACCAAAAGTTAGTCGCCAGGGGCCACTGGGCTCTGCTAGAGCACAGCCATGAATCTGACCAGGTGGGGGAAAAGGATGTGTGATGCTATTTGTTTCAAATTCCAAATTACGAGCCATGTTTTAATTCGTAAAAGTAATTAAGGTTGGATTTTTACAGTATTCACCAACTACTGCTAATGACTGGGATGTCTGTGAAAGATTTGAACGACCCTGGAATGGCCTTTATCTCATCCTTACGGGCCCATTATCGTCTCTTTTGACGCTGTTGCTATGAAAACGTCTTCAAGCTGTAACTTAACAAAACGACACGTAATGTGACAGGCACGGTTGCCAAAATTTTCAACGACTGTTACGTTTCAAGAGAGGTCTGACAAAGCTTCGACATCAATTAAACAAGAGATCTGAAGAGATCTGGATTGTTCTCTAAAATAGCTTCTCCCTTTGTTAACTTGAAAAGTTTCAAATGCTCCCCTCGACTCGATTTAGAAAGCGATTCACCTTCTGTGACTGGAGAGAGGGCTGTGATTGGCTTTCATGGTATATAGTGGATATGGGTATGATGTCATGGTCCTAAAGGAAAAGCAGTAGAAAATAAGACCCAGTTCATGATCGACGTTTGAACCAATTAAGTCGGACATGTCTAATTTGGGTCGACCCATGAATTAAGTTCGAGTGGCCCTCATGCGAATTTCACTGTGGAGCGACTTTGTTTCAAACTTCTCATGTGCCGAGCCTAATACATAAATAACTCAAATTTATTTTCTCTTGTAAGCATTTTAGACAATTGAACATCATGATAATATAGTTATTAAGTTTATGAGAAGATCGACGTTTGAACTGGGCCTAACTGGCTTTTTGGTAGATTAATATAGTTTCTTTAAATGTTTAGAGTTATAAACTATCCTCAAAATAATGGCCACGCTTTGTTTGTTTGTTAGTTTGTAACCTTTTTCTTTCGTCTCTTGTAGATTTTAGATACCACGCATTTATAATATTCAACAGTGGAGACCAACGTTGGATGACGACCAAGCTTCTGCCTCTATTGGAAGAAAAGCACCATTTCAGTTGTTGTATACACTATAGAGACTTTGCCGTAGGGAAGCCTTTTCGGGACAGCATGGCAGAAAGTGTTTACAATAGCCACAAAGTCATAGCATTATTTTCCAGTAATTTTGTGAAAAGCAATTATTGTAAGTACGAGCTTGACCTCGCCATAGGACGGCTTTTATCGCATCGCGATCGTTGCCTGGCTGTCATCAGGATTGATAAAGTTGATAGTAATATGCTGCCTAAAGAACTCAAGGACAAAAGCTTTATAGACTACAGCAATGCCACCGAAAGGCGCATTTGGAAACGAAAACTCCTAGAATTTCTTCGTAAGCCTGGTGATGAGGAATGCCATGACACTGACGTTAATCAGAACTGTAAAATTAACAGCACAAATGACGACAACAGAGAAAGGCTAGAGAGTGCCAGCAGCATGGAATCTGATGCGCACGAAGAACATCCCAATGATGACATGGAAGAAATCAGTGACTTAAGCAGCACAAATGGTAACAGAGAAAGAATTGGATTTGTGAGGTTGGAGAGTACTATCAGCAATGATACCGTTATATCTATGTTGTAAACATTGTTAGATGTAACATGGAGCCTTTCTTATAATCAAAATATTGGGGCTGAGAATGTGAAAACAGGTGAACATGGTAAGAACATAGCTGAGCCTCCTGAAGTACAAATTCCACCAGTTTGTACCCGAGGAATAAAGCGAAATTACAACAAGGAATGCAGTTAAATGTTGGCATGAACTTTGGTCTCTCCATTTCATCCTTAGCCTTTATTCCCACAACATGAGGCAGACTAGCCACGCAATCCCGCCCATCTGATACTTAGGCACAGTTTTACAACACGTTGTGTTAGAGAAATAACTTCTGACTTTAATTGGACTTGGTTTGGATTGTTCATCGAATAACTAGGCTGCTATCCAGAGTTGTTTAGTTCTTTTGCAACATGAGCATTGGTCCTGTTCACTGTCAATTCTTTTTACGCGCTCAGTTAATAAGAGTAATAATACAGCACACCGTGACTAATCATGGACGGCTTAGGACACTCATACTGGAACCAAGGTCTCCTTTTGTATTTTATAAATTTAAAATAATCATCATTTTAGTGCAACTTACACTTAAGTGAAGCAAAATAAATATTCATTGAAAGGAATTACACAGGTTTGACCACGACAAAGAAATTCAAGGCGAAAGCATCGAGCGTTAGGGCGCTTTCCAAAAGTCAAGATTGGCCTTTGGACCATGGCCGAACCAGTCAAATAGCGGCTTTTTCCATGATTCTTTTTCGGTGTGTGAAAAAACTACCTCCTTCGTGCATACTATTTAGGATAGTTTTGATTTAGATTCTCGTTAAGCCGGGAATGGTCTGGCTGGTCAATTCTGACAAATGGAGAGCGTTCTAAGTACCAATTCCAAGTATGTTAAACGCAGGTTTTGGAGCTGTTTAAGAGTGATTTTCTGTAAAATTGGAACTTCGGCCTGACACGGTACCTCATCGATTTGGCTGATTTTTGGCATGTAGTCTTAGAATGGTGTCCTAAATACTGAATGCATATTCTAAGGTTCGAATTCTCGTTGGTTTCAAAGATACAGGAATGACAGTTTTGACGAGGCCTCGAGCGGCCGCCATGTTGGTGAACTGAAGGAGATTTACAGTAATTAATTCTAGCCTTATCATTAAAATAACTTAATCGTGACTCATACAGTTGCAAAGAACTATCCTTCCTCCTTTCATTTACCTACTCTTATCTGAAAATGGTTAAGCCTGAGCTACGAACGGCTATAACTTCTCACAGCACTTTTTCGGTACTTTAACGGTACACAAATTTGGTAGAAATTGGAAGGCCAATATCACCCATGCCACATCGATTTAGACTAAGCCATTTTAACTAAACATAGTTTGTTTATAGCTAAGTTAGATTGTTGAATAAAATAATTGGGCAAATGCAACGGAACAGAAATATGATTGCATGAATGCGCAGTGGTTCAGCCACTTGGCCGCTAAAACTTCAAAACAAAATTCGATGAATATTTGAAAAGAAAATTCTTTAAAAATTGATCGTGCCTCTTAAGAGCCATTATCTGAGAAAATCGAGAATCGCACGACACTCGTCAAAAAATCGAATTTTTTTTTATTTTGCCAAAACATCCCTTTTAGTGACCTAATTTGAGGAAAAATAGTTTTGGGTTCAAACGATTCATTTTAAAGGAGAAATTAGGAAAAGTTTGAAAAATCGATTTTATGCTCGTTTTTCGCACAAAACACGGCAGGATGCAATGGCAACTTCGAGAGAAGGGTGAACGCGTAAGAAACATTCCCTGACATTGAAACTTCACCGAATTATTATTTTGTTCTTACTCTTGAAAATCCTAAAAGAAAATTTGATAAACAATGCTTTACATTTTTATAATCGACAAGTGTAAAGAGGTCATATTTGTGACGTTAGACGTGCTAGAAAATGAAGGCCAACTTTGACTATTAAAAAGGCCTCTGGTATATGCCACTTGATCATAAAATCAATATAAAATGGAACCTTGGTTTTTGTACTAACTTACTGGAAAGTCTTAGCTCTGGAAATCAAATACCATCCTGACACCAAAGCAAGCGGTGAGAGCAATTGAATTGGGAAATTTATGTAAATTAGACGGCTTGCGGACGGTTGTCAAACTAAAAGAAAGGTTTTAAATGAAAGGATTACTCACCATTGCTTGTAACACGTTTTTACGGCAAGGAAAGTTATTTGCCAAAAGACAAACGTACGTCTGCTCAGCATCCGGCCGTGATTCGAAATAAAGTCACAACACGTCGAAGCAAGAGTTACAAGAGTTTTTACTTCAGTCAGGAGGCAAAAGGAATAAAAATTCATCGCAAACAGGAGCAAACTAATGACTTCGATTTTGAAAACCTTTCATCACTTCAATCGTTCGTCGGCTGATAATAAACATCGCACAAGATCGTATGACCTTTGGCGTGTGACCGGAAATTGGTCACACGCTTTAGTCACGTCAGCATGCTGTCATTTTCGTAGCATTTTCGTAGCTGTTTCGTAGCTGCATTTTCGTAGCTGTTGTCAGCAATTTTAATACAGTTTTCACATTTTCTGACAAGAAATCCTCTCATCGCAGTAGAAACAGCCATGCATATTTATTTTTCTTTATTTACCTACTAGACTTTGAAACAGCTTTTTTGCCTTCGAAGCACTAAACAGGAGGGGTACCTCGGATTCCAAGCGTCGTGAGTGATCTGTGGAAGCGAAAATTAAGACCAAAAAAGAACGAATATTTTGAATACTTAAGTAAAGCCACAGCTAAAAAAAATTTGTTCAAAATATTTTCAAACCAAGAAAAAAACATACTTCGATCATCCCCGTGACTTGGAATCTGGCCAGAGTACCCCCTCCCCCTCCCCCCCTCCCCTATGCCGGGTCAAAATACTAAGTTCCCCCGGCCCAATGTCCCATAGTCAAGGGAGTATACTCTCTTGCTGTAGTAAAGAACTTGCAGAATAATACCAATTCTCCGTGGCCAACGGATTCAACGCTATAGTTTACTTTGGTTCTGCTTGTTGATTTTTTTCGCTATTTGCTCACGATCAGGAGCCTATAACCCCAACCACGACCAAATTATGAAACCTGTTATTACTAGTCAGTCAGATAGACAGTACATAATAAAAAAGACCTCCATTAAGATTAAAAAAACTCAATACATGACACTGTCGAATACGAAAACCCAGAAACCATTTTGTGGAAAAAGGTTCGCATACAGCTATCAGATGCTTTTGTCCACAACTCGCCGGTAGAGGTGCGCGGAAACTAGTGATTGTGAAATGGCTTCAAACTATGATCCTATACTGTTGGAATATTACTTATCACAGAAAGCTACACCTGATTTCTTCTAGCAGACCCAATCCTCTTGGTTCGTGTGGACAAAGTAGTCATCCCGGCTATTTGCACCATGCTACCATAGTCTCCCTAGATTCCCAAGCCTCGCACGCAGACTTTCCTGTCCCACGAACGTTGGGTAGGATTGTAGGACGAGCCAAAAGAAAGTGAAGGCTATAGGCTCTCGCGATGATGCAAGGAAGGTCGAGTATTATATTCCCCTATCCTGATCGCCCAGGGTAAGTCTGCGGAGGAGAGTGACTGAGAGGCTGTATGTTCGAAAAGTTGACTAACGCCCCCGGGACTAACGCTTTCCCCTGGATAAATCTATATCCAATAAGTAACGCAATTGCTTCTTCTTATTCGCTTGATAGTGATTTCCGGTGGGTAGCGCTATCCAACGTTTGAACAACAGGGCCCTAAGAATTGTGTTTCGCCTTGCACTAAAAACCCATAAACCTTATAAATTTCACTATGGGACTTCAGCACCTCCCTTGAATGATCTATTTCGCTAATCGGGACCTCAAAACAACGATACTGTGTATCCTGAGGGAGTGTATACTATACTTTCCTGGCTCTCGTCACTCACAGTGAGGTGATGGTGGCTTATACTATAATAGACGTAACACAGTCGAACCTCCATGTGCGACCGCCAAGGCCAAAAGACCAAATTTTCTCAGTCAAAGCCTTACAGTTGGAACCCACAGTAAACGACCACCTTCTGTAAGTGACTGCGACCACTTTTTGGGCGTCAAGGTTAATTGTTTTCCATAAGCGACCAGTTGACGCATTCTCTGCTCTTCGTTTTGCTGTGTGCACTATGTTCCTTAGAAAATATGAAGACCTTTAGTGACATCGTGGAACTACACATATCCTAACTTAGTAGATGTAGCCAACAAAGCGAAGGTTCTGTTGTGATTCTAGACTATTCTACATCTCACTCACCTGAATCCCTCTTTAAATTTAGCATGATTTAAAAGCTGTATTTGTCAAAAGAGGTAAAAGATAATATTTTGCGAGGAATTTCTTACACCGCCATTTAATAGAATGTGCCTGGACCTCTTCTAGGAATAGACCCCATGTGTTCCGATTCTTCTAAACGACCACCCTCCCGTTAGGGACCACTAAGTCTTTGCATTTTTGGTGGTCGCTTACTGGAGGTACGACTGTATTACTTTGACCTATCAGAGGCTTACCGATAATAAAGGGGATCTGGAAGGGGGCATGGATGCGACAATCACATGCCAGGTTGCTTACTTAAAATAGTGGACATCTAACTGACAATCAAAGTTTGTGCTTATTATTGGGGTTATCTGGTGTTTACTCCCAAGCTACCCTGGGCGAGCCAACTTTTCCTCCATTTCCTTACAAAACTTGGTAAACCATTTACATGAGAAACAAAATGTTGGTTCGGATAGACTCCTTACTACCAGTAGTGGGCGGGGTTGAGGGCTTCCGGAAGTCAGCCCTCCACTGAGCCGGTAGTGGTGGCCTTACCCTTCTAGCCCGGCTAATATTTCTCCACTAGCTGGGACAACACGGTCAAGGCTAGACAAAGACAGCATGCGCAAGCACTGTTGACTCGGACAAAGTGCTCAGTTTTTTCCTCATATAAACGCTCGCAAAAGTTGGCTCGGCTGGGAGGTTGACCTTCTCTCCTGCACAGCTTTTCTCCATCCATGGGT